CACCCCCCCAGACGGACACTTAGCCCCCCATCTGGGCTCGTCCAGGAAGCCGCGGCTGAGCCTCTCCACCCATTGCTGGAGGCGGCTGAGATGGCCACCAGGCGCTGCCAACGGACAAGCCTCTCCGATTAAAGCCGAGCGGGCCGAGACCCACATCTGGCGCTTGCGGGCGTGGGGAGGGGCCGCCCGCTCTCCCGCGGCGGGAGCAGCGCCAGGCCGACCAGCTGGGCTTCCCCGTCCCCAGACCCACCTCCGCGCCCGACACCGGCCAACCTCATTAGACAAGCAAGGACGAGGGCTTGGACCGTTTTCAGCCTGAGGCACGATCCACCGAGCCAACATCCCACCTTATTAGGCAGCCGGCGGAAAATGAGGCAACACGCAAATGTCTCCATTAGGCAGCTGCGCCTGCTGGAGTGCGTTAATTTGATCAAGAGATAATCAGGGTCGCCTGAGCACGGCAAGGGGAGGAAAAAATCGGGCCCAAAACAGCTGTTTTTGCAGCGGCCTGGGCAGGGAAGCCCAACCGAGCCCTCCCCGTGGGCTCCGGGAAGGAAGGGCCTCATTTTTCAGGGATTTAAAATCCCTCCACCCTGCAAAAGACGGCGCTCGCGCAAACGAGCACCGCTGCCGGCATGTTAGGACACGGCGAACACCCCTGGCGAAATGGGGCGGCCGCGGTGCCACACGCCCCTCCAAAGCCAGGGGTCTGCTCGGTTTCGGGAGGACGCAACGACCTGAGTGCGGCTCACGCACGGGGAGGCCGAGCGCTGCTCCGTTTCGGCTCCTTTACAACCACCAGCACCCAGGGTTCTCCAGGCAGCGTGCAGCACATTACGACAGAACGTGCGTAAAACAAACATGAAATAAAAACAGAGCCACATACAACGAAGGGAAAGAGTCTGCGGCAAAGGAAAAAGACATTCTGGCATCTAAAACCAAATTAAAGCCAACAGCAGAACGAAGCACTGAAAACACTTTTCAAGGAAGAGCCCTTGAAAGCCTGGGGGAATAACATGAGCTTCACCTGGCGCTGGGGACATGGCAACCTTGCGAAATCCACTCCTCCGCCGTTCCCCAGCGCCTCTTCTCCCTTCCCTCATCCACTGACACAGTCGGGTCTCCACAAATGCGATTCCTACGCGTCTGCGCAAACGCGCACTTCGGGAAATCGCAAAGCCCCCAAATGCAAACAGTGCTTGATCTTTCTTTTTGCTGCCTGTGTTTGCTTAAAATGAAATAAAAGGGTCTGTACATGCATGGAATCCACCTGACCCCGCTGGTCCACTATGGAATCGGTAGACTGGATTTATAGAAATCCAAATCCAACTGAGCCTGTCATGTCCCTCCCCCTACCCGCCGCCACTGCACCTTGTCCTGGAAAGACCAGAAACTGGGTGCTGGGCAAGCCTGGCTGTGGGGGGGGGGGGGGGGGGGGGGGGGGGGGGGGGGGGGGCATTCCAGAGATGCGGTGCCACCACCAAGCAGGCAGCCACCCGGTTCCTCTCATCTGGCAGGGCCGCCTCGCGGAGGCCTCAGGTGGCGACTGCCGTGCCCGGGAAGGTAAATGCAGCTGGCTCCGGCGTACGAACTGGGGCTGAAGGGCAGCGGCTTACTGGGAGCAGGTTCAGTCCTGGACGCCACTGGGAGGAGGGCCAGGAGGCAGAGGGCAGCAAAGGCTGCGCAGAAAGCAGAGAGAGGAGAGAACGGGTTCTGGGCTCGCTCACAGGACCAGCCCTCTGCCCGGGGACCAGCGCAGAGCCCCTCCGCCCGGGATGCCAGATGCGTGGCTGCCCTCCCCCACCAACAGATCTTGCCCAGAGGCCCCCTTTCTCAGAGCAAGACCGATCCACCACGGTGTGGATTCTGCTGATGCTCTGAGCTCCAGCGCCAGACAGGAGGCGATCAGCCCCCCGTTCATTATCGAAACTGATGGCTGCAGTGGGGGCTTGGAAGATGCGCGGGGGCAGGCCTGGCCGCGCCCCTCGGACAGAAAGCACCGCTTTATTGACAGACCACCGCTCAACCCACCTTCGCCATTGCTTGTAAACAAACCAAGCCAGGCATGGAGGACACCCGCCAGAAATCACGTCTCTCGCGGAGGCACAACCCGTCGTTGCTTGGCTCGCGCATCCTTCGCCCCTGAACCAGCCGAAGGGCCTTTTAGGAGCCGCTGATCTGAACCAGTCGAGCCGATCTCACGCGTTGCGGGAAGCCCTGTGCTTTGCGGCAGAAAAAGACTTGCCGGGGGCAAGAACAGCTCCATAATAACCCATTAAAAAGACCGCTGAACAGCGCTCAGGGCGCAGGAATAAATAGCGTGCCGAAGAAAAGCACGCTCTCCTGCACACCTTTCGCCGCTCCGCATGATCCGTTCCGGCAACCGGCGTTGCCCTTTTCAAGACACATCAGCTAATCGCTCCACAGCCGAGCCCGGCTGCAATTCTGCGCCGCGGCCGACACGGCCCAGCCTGCGCCTTCCACGCCGCCCTGCCGCAGACGGCGCTGCGCAGGCGGCTGCTCACCTGGAGGAGCAACTAGGACCTTGCCGGTGGAAGAGCAGCGGGATCTGAGCCTCACGTTTCTTTCAAATCGCTTTAGCCGTGCCTGTGGCGCCGCGTGTCGGATAGCCACACACGGGCTTTCTGTGTGCCATCGTTCTTGTACCGCCCCATTGCCAGGACTCTCTAGGCAGTGAACAAAAGTTCCCACACACAAATTAACCTGGAAGCACAACAACCGCAACTTAACCAGCACAGGAGCATGGTGGCGGTACGAAATAAAATGCAATTTTAAAATAAACTTAAACGGTTAAGCTGCCAAAATGCTGAGAAAGTAAGGAAGGTCGTCACCTGGTGCCATACGGGAGGCCCCAGGTGTGTCCCCTTGGGGGCTCATTCCACAACTGGGGGGGGCAAGGATAAGAAGGGGTCCCCCCCCCCGAAACAATGGAAAGACTCTGCAGCAAGTGCGGGGCAGGCATTCTAGCGATCCTCATGATGGAGTCAGGAGATGTAATTGTATTGATATTTCAATTTTCATGTATTGTATTGAAATGGCTGCCTCTTTCGAAGGATTTTGTGGTGACATGTGTGGCTGATGCAAATTAGCTGAACAAAGGAGGACTTAGAGGAGAAGTTGATGTTTTAATGCCTTCCCTCAGCCCCCCCCCCCCTTCTGAGGAAAAGAGCCCAATTGGCAAGTCAAAACAACTAAGTCTTGGGGGTTGGGGAGTTGATGCAAGACAACTTAATCTGCAGCAGAAATGGGGCTGGGTTACAAAAAAGAAGAAGAAAAAGAAAGAAGGGGAAATGTTACATGCATTTAATGTCTAATTAGGAAAAAAATAAGCTACGGAAATCGTGTACAACGAGTAATAGGGGCCCCCTCTGACAGCGGCAGCCGAGATGGCCTATTTCAAGGTTGAGTTGCTCGGAATATAATTGAAAGGCGAAAATGAAATTGGAGTTATCAAGACATTGGATTTGGGGCAGATTTAACTGGCTGATAAAAAAACCCAACCACCTCGCAAGCGCTTTGCCGAGCAGGAAGGCCAGCCCTGGGCCGAGGGGCACGGATCCGGCCGGACAGGCAAGGCGTGGCCAGGTCCCTGCGGAAGAGGGAGGCGCCACGGGGCAGCCGGCCCGCACTTGATCCCGCGGCAGGGCCACCCCAGGCCAGGAGCGGCAGGGCCAGGCCTGGAGAACGAGGCAGCGGGGCCTGCAGCCCGCCAAGCCCGGCCAGGGCCAAGCCGCAGCGCTCCCCGCAGGGCCCTCTCCCGGAGGAGCCCGTCCGGGGCCGCTCGCCAGCGCACTCACCTGCCGGCTGCGGCGACAACGCACCTGGGGGCCAGGCGACCACTCTGCTCGGCCTCTGCAGCAGAGCCCTCCTCCCGAGGAGGGGGCTGTGGTCACCTCCCGAGGGCCCGGGCTCCTCCCGGTCTTCGGCGCTGGGCGGCTCGCTGGCGCCCGTCTCTGCAGCCTCCTGGCCAGTCAAGGACCTTTTTCTGCCTAAATGCGCTCAGCGCCATGCCCACAGACATCGCCGGAAAGCTCCCTTCTTCCCCCCACTTTGCCTCGAGCATCACCCACCTGGCCACGGCTCCGGGCACCGGGCTGCGGATCAACCACGTGGCTTAGCTGCGGAGCGATTCGCACCATGCTGCTTTTATCATTGTATTTCTAGTAGCTTTGAGGCCACTGCAGTTAAAGCTGCATTTAAAGTTTCGATACTTGCAGCAGAACCTTTGCCTCGACATCTGGTCCCTGCCTCCAGCTGCCCCCTCCAGGGGAGGCCTCTCTCGGCAACCACGAGGCGGGGGCCTCTTCCGTGGTGGCCCCCAACTGTGGAACGAGCTTCCCGCTAAGGTCTGCTTGACACCAACCCTCTTGACGTTCGGCAGCAGCGTAAGACTGTACTCTATCATGGGGCAGTTAAGAGCCATAAATAGCCCCCTAGGGCATTATGCCGGCTGCCTGGGGGTCTTGCTGTCTTAACCAATGTTGACTGTTGTGGTTCTTTAAATTCCACTTTTAAATTTTGTAGTCAAGTGTTATGATATTTTACAGTTACCCATATTTTAGACTGTAGTTTTATGATATTTTATGTGTTGTTGTAAACCACCCAGCGAGCTTCAGCGATTGGGCAGAAGAGAAACAAAATAAATAACATAACAGGAATGCATAAGCGCTGAGCGCCCATGTGCCAGAATTTACCGCTCCATCACTGCTTGCACCTCTGAGGCAGAAGAAAACTATTTCGGATTAAGCAATCAAGGAAGCTCCTGCCATCCCGAGGGCCCACAGGACGGGGGCTCTCTCTTCCAGGCCGTGTCTTCTCCAGCGGGGAGGCCACCCATCCCGGGGACGACTCCTCTTCTTGGAAGCTTTCCCTGCATGCGACAATCCGAACAAAGTCTGTGCTTATCATGCAAGAGTCTAATTCTAACGGCTCCCCGTGGGAAACGACCCCAGGAACCGCCAGGGAGATGTCAAAGCGGGTCCTGTTTCAGCCACCTTTATTTCTGCATCTGAAGATGCACCCTATATATACAGATTTTGTTTGTACAGTCTAATAATATACAGCATTTTCATGTTTTTATATATATATAATCTATATAGATATAGATATATATATTATTCACACGTCAGTACACAAACCCTCAGGTGAGGAAACTGTCGGCTCCGAAACCTGCAGGGAGCCCAACTGGTTCCTATGCCATCTGGAAAGGGCTGCCAGCAACGCGAGCCGGCTTCTCGAGGAGGAGGAGGAGGAGGAGGAGGAGGAACAGAGGCGAACAAAAGGAAAGAGGATCTTGAACGCTGAAGAGGACTCTTCGGGAGAGCACAGACGGAGTCTGAAGTGAGGGAGGGGGAACAGGGTCGCTCCTTCGCCAGGCCAGGCCAGGCAAGCCCTTCCCCTGGCGAGTCTGGAAGGCGAGGGGTGTGTCCAGAGAGCAGGGGCCCGAGATCCACCACCGTGCGAAGGTGCGGCTGCTCCGAAGCGCAGCCGGGAGGGAAGGAGAAAGAGCAGTCCTGGGGAGAAGGCAGGCAGGCAGGCAGGCAGGCAGGCAGACAGGCAGCCGGGGCTATAGCATCAGGGGAACTTGCCACATGAGTAACGTGCTGTCTGCTTCGCAGCCGGCTGGAGGTTTGCCGCTGGGGCTGAAGTTCCGGTAGCCTCTCCCTCCGGAGATGATCGCCAGGGAGGAAATCTCCTTGCGGTGAGCGTCCCGGGCACACGGCCGGCTGCGCACCCAGATGTCGGGGTCGTCGGCCATCTCGTAGATGGAGCCGTCCTCCTCCGTGTGCTCCGGGGCGCCCCCGGCCGCGGCGGAGGGCGTCTCGCGCACCGAGAGCAGCTGCCCGGGTAGGTGGGCCGTGGATCGGAGGCGGTACTGCAAGAGCAGGCCCTTCTTCCGCATCTCCCGCGTCGGGGGGCTCTCCGGGGCGGCCACCTCCGAAGGCCGCCCGCCGCTCTTCTCCTCCGCCGCGGACGGGGGTCCGGCCAGCGGGTCTTCCTCCTGGTCGCTCTTCAGGACTTCCGGCGCCAGCGTGCTGAGGGCCACGGCCAGGAACTCCACGGGGCCGCAGTGGCCGTTGAGGGACACCATGCCCTTCCCTGGGCGGCAGAGAGAGGCAGAAAAGGCAGAGATGCTGTTGGGATCCTCAGGGATCCACGTGCTCCCAAGCTGGATTACTGCCGGGCGCTCTGTGTGGGGCTGCCCCGGAAGGCTGCTCAGAATCTGCAGCCGGGCGGCAAGGGCTGCTCTGAGCCGGCTCGCACAAGCCGTCTTCACGCTTCCAAGCCCGGCTCAGGTGCTACATCAGCCCCCCGGGGCGTGAAGCCAGCGGGCAACTACCCAGACACTGCACTCCTGATGTGGGCAGGCCTCTGAGCACCACCTCTAAGGCAGGCTCAGCTGGCAGCCGCAAGGAGAACGGCCTTTTCAGTGACGGCCCCGCCGTGCAACGCAGGATACAGCACCATCTTAAACCTTCAACCGTGCAAAATGAAATAAAACCAGAGTGAAAAGCAACAGCAGGGGAAGACCTAAAACACAAGAGCGTATTTTAAAGCTACAAATTGTCTGTGTGTGTGTGTGTGTGTGTGTGTGTGTATGCACATGCCGCCTTAACTGCCAAAGGGTCTTTGCCAGGTGGCTTACAACCACAATGAAAAATGACAACACCTGGGCAAAGAAACCTCTTCCGTGGGTGCTGAAACTGTTCGGCGCAGGTGCTTCTCTGCCTTAACTCCAGCCAGCCCCTCTAGCCCAGTACTGCTCGCACAGGCTGGCAGCAGCAGCTCTCCAGAGTTCCTTCCCTGCTGTCCCCGGAGATGCCGCAGACCAAGCACGGCCCTTCGTGTGCCAAGCAGGGCCCCTGCGGCCAAGCCCCGGTCCAGTCGCACCCCTGGGAAGCCCTTTCCGGAGCAGCCGGAGACTCACCTGTGATCTTGGGGATCCCCTCCAACCGGGGCACCGGCAAGAGAACCAAGATGCCTTGGTCGGTGCCAACCCACAGAAGGCCCTGGCAAATCAGGAGGCTCGTGACCCGGACGTTCTTCTGGCCTGCAAAAGAAAGAGGGTCGCTGGACCAAAAGCCTCGTCCTCGCCTGGACGCCGAAGGCCAGCCCCAAGCGGGCTTCCCAGCACGGACCTGAACGGGGCGGCCATCCGAGCACGCTGCAGGGCGCCTCCGGGTGTGCTGGCACCAACGGGGCCCATACGAAGGGCGCCTCGCCGCTCGGAGCCGACGTGTGTTTGGTGTCCGTCCAGATCCGCCCTCCTGCCTGATCCTGTCTTCCGAGTTTAGCATGAACAGGAGCAAAACTCGGGAAAGCAGGCCAGCAGGGCAACAGGCATGGGCAGCGGGCAGAAGCGTGGAAAGGAGCGTTCCACGGAGAGGTCCGTCCGGGGCTAATCAAGAGCGGAGCCGTCCGTGTCTCCTCCTCCGTATTGCTTTTGTTTTTAGCCTGCCTTTCAGACAATTATCACCCCCCTTAGCGGCTCCCATCAACTCCAGAAGAATGAACCCAGTTCTGCACTGAGGAGTGCAGAGGACAGCAAGACATCGCAGCAGAAGGGAAGGAACAGATCGAAGCGTTCCACTTGACATCGCCAGAGCAAAGCGGCGAGCTGAAAACGGCACCGACGCCTGCCTGCGTTTGCTTGGATACGTACAGCATTTACAAACGGCTCTGCCAAAGAAAGACGACGATTCACAGGTAGCAAGCAGGGCGAAAGGAGCAAAGAATCAAATGCACATCCTTAAAAATGTTTAACATCAAGCTCTGTCAGCATCTGGCAAAAGCCTGTGTGTTTTTTTAAGTCTTTGGCTGGCAGAGCAGCTGGTGGGGAGCTCCAGAGAGACCTGCTGCACTAAAAGCTCTCCGCCAAGTGAACTCTAAACATGCTCAGGAAGTACGCAGAACCCCAGCAGTCATTCCAGTGCCCGGGAAGGCTGAGCAGGAGGAGGGCACACGACCAAATAGCCAGCCCTGTTTCACATTCACCAGAGCCCAGGTGAACGTCCCTTGATGGACTTGCACCCCCTTCCCTGAAAGGAAAGGTGTTCCAGAGTTCCTCTGATCTGCTCCGTCCATGAAACACAAAAGTGTCAGGCATTCCCCATACCACCAATCAGACTTTTTTAAGGGGCACAAGAATTTGGCTCCCCTTTCAGAAGAGTGGGATCCCTGACTAGAAGGACCAGGCAGCCAACACGAAAAGCCGACCTGTTTTTTTTTAGCCGAATCGAAGAAACTGCTGACGGGAGGCAACAGGCAGGAGCAAAATGCAACACGAAAGGCTGATGTGCAGGTGTCTTTCCAGGGAACGTTTTATTATTGCGGGGCTTTTCGGTTTGTGCTGCATTCTTGAATTGTCATTTTTATTGCCGTTTTAATTGTTGCAAACCACGATGTGAGCTTCGGGTATAGCCATATGTCATGCTGCACAATAAAATAGAATATAGAATGAAATAAAAATATTACCCAGGGCAGTGGACAGAGACACTTTTCAGCAGCGGAAACGTCTACCTACGAACACTCTGTGCGGCTGGATTTTCTTTAAAAGACGGGGATTGCCAGTTGCTGGAAGCTGGCCGGGGAGGGTCTGAAGCCGGGGTGCGCCATCCGGCTAGTGTGCTTGCGAGACAAATGCCCGGCTCACGGGTGCCACCTTCTCTTGCGTCTTCTCCGAGTTCAAGCGCAGAAGCCACCGCAGGAGGAATCGAACCTGCTGGCTTCAGGAGCGGCAAATTTTTCGGAGAGATGAGGCTCCTGGAATTGGTTTGCTGGCATGGAGCAAGATGGCTGCCCGAACGTCTGGGCTCTCCTCGGGCGCATGGCGCCGTTACAATGAGCAGCTGCACTTCCAAATTAGCCACTGACTCCTGTGGACGTGGTAGCCATCAGCAGCCCCTAGTTGCGAACTCCGCATCTCCCCCCTCACCTCAGCGGCTCTCAGAAGGAAGCAGCAAAGAGGGCAAGCTCTCCGTCTTCACCATAATTTTGTCTGTCCCTGTCAGACTTGCACCTTCTGTGAGCCTTTCCTAAAATCCCCACGGAGGCTGCAGGCGCGAGGAATTCCTTTGGGAAGAGGCCTCGTTCCCTGCTGGCTTGCAAAAGATTGTAAAGCGGTTTGGCCTTCAGTGGGCCATTCCTGCCCCAGAGACCTGCTCCTTGGGGTCAGCCCAGCAGCCTCCACTTTGGGGCTCTCCATGGGGTGCGGGGACAGTTAGGAAGAGCAGCTGAACCGCAAACCCGGCCGCTGCAGAGAGTCCCAAAAGCAAAGCATGTTTTCCGTGCTCAGCTCAAGACTGCTCCAGTCAGGAAAATTCCCAACCTTCAGCAATGTCATTTGTGCAGAGGGGACGGAACGCATGCAAGCGTTCCCCAACCTGGCACCCTCCTCACACCAAGAAATTAGCTGGAAATTAGAGGGACTTGGAATCACTTCCGCAGGGGCACAAACAGCCACAGGGGGAAAGACCCACAGGAGGGAAAGGGACAATCCAGTTCTCTGTGGAGCTGCTATTTTGGCTGTAATTGACTCAGGACAGAAAGTGCACCCTGGAAGAACCAACTGAATAAAAACTGGAGAAATGAGTCTTTTTGGAACATAGGCATGAAAATGCGTAACCTGAAAAAAGCTCATGGGTTTGCTTTACTCAATGGGGGAACGACGACGCACTTCAAAGATACATACAACTGAGGTGCGCATTTGGGAAAATATGCACAAGAATAGGCATGGATTTTCATGCAGAAAGAAGAACGTCTCAGCGTGGGAATAAGCTCTGAGTTGGGATCCAGAGACGCTCACGGGGCTCAGGGGTGCCAATCTGCACGCAGCTGTTGCTGAGGTCAAAGACGAGCGGGAGCGCGAAGGCGGACTGCAGGGGCTGGGGCAACGCACCGCTGGCCCCCAAGTCCTGGAAAACAGCCCCGGTGGGGGGGGGGGCGGCTCCCCTTCCACTTGGACAATCCGGTCTCCCCACGGAATCCTACCTTGGCCGAGAGAGTTAGAATTCCCCTCACGCCGCCTCCTCTTCCTGCTAAGCCCTTGCAATGCGGTGGTGCATTTTAATTGCAAATTAGTGCCTCCAGGACCAGGAGAGGTGCGAGGGTGGGGGGAGAGCCAATAAAAGGAGGCGGGGGCAAGCGAGCAGCGGCGATGGAAGGCAGGGGAGACAGGCGACTGGAGCGCAGCCGCGCGGCATGCCAGGACGTGGCGGGCGGTGGGGCGCTGGGACACACTTCCGGGGCCCTCTCGCTCCGGGGAACGGAGGGAGGATGCCGCTGCTGACTACGTCAGCTGCCCACCAAGTCCATCCGGGCCAGTATTTCCGACCCTGGCTGGCAGCAACGGCTCTCCAGGGCTTCGGGCAGGAGCGCTGAGAGCCCTGCTGGAGACACCGCTGGGGACCAAACCGGGACCTCCCGGATGCGCAGCCGGGACTCTGCCACGTCAGGGCGGTGGGACCCGCCACCCGCCACTTCCGTTCCCCTGCGGCCGGCCGGCCACACACAGCCCGGATCAACCTCTGCTCCAAGCATCGGCTGCCTGCTCGGTGCACGCGGGGTATTCAAGGCAAGGAATGCTCCATCGCAGGCTGGCCTCCAGGCCTGCTTGCGGTCCCTCGGAGGGCCGTGACCCTTCCTTGGCCACTCCGCCGTTCCCCAGCTGGCCACCATGGGCGGCCCCTCACCCTTTGCCCACCTGCCCAATTTCAAAGCCCCAAATTGCCTCTCACGCTGAAGCTTGCTGGCTGCCTGGAGGTGCTTTAAAGGAAAATATGCCAGGACCCAGCCTGGTCCTTCCACCTCAGCCACCTCTGGAATGGGACCTCGGAGGGCTCCCCCCAGGCCGACCCCGGCAGCCCCCGGGGTGAGCGAGGTCCAGCGCCTCAGCTTAATCTCGCCTGCCGCAGAGGCAGTGAGCACCGGCTGGCCCTGCAGGGCTGCAGAAAGCCGTCCAGCCTCACCAAAGGCCAGCTGATCAGGCAACATTTAAAAATGAGCTTCGCGGGAGACAGAGGATCCAGCCTGAGAAGCAAACTAAATTCTCTGCACTACTGACATTACCTGGGACCTCCATGTCCCTCCCGGCTGGTTTTTCCAAGCTCGGTCAAGTGCCCCCGCCCCCGGAGAATCCAGGAACGCCCACGTGGTCCAGCAACACGGCACATGGTCACACCAAGGGTGGGCGACTTAACACGTGCACGCTTTGCTGCCCCCAAGCGTAAAAGGGGGGCGGGGTCCAAACAGTCATTTCAGCCTCTGTTTTACCCCTTGTACCAGCCACTCTAGATGCTCGTTTAAATACGTATTTCTCAGTGCCGGGGGAGGGAGCAGCCCCAAGACTCCCCCAGCACCCACCCCCGGGTGGGAGCTGGGGCGCAGGCTGGGGGCGGTGTGCTTGGGTGCCAGGCCCCCCTCAGCCACGGCGGGCCAGCCGTACAATTGAGCAGGGTCAAAATATCCTCCTCAGGCGGCCGACCGAGGGTTGCCATCAAAGGACAGCAGGTTGCCCGTGATTTAAAATAAGCTTTGTATTTGCAGTAGGGCTGGCTCCCAATTAAGGGAGCCTTCACTTGATTAAGCATACATTTCCATTGATTAAACCAGCATATATTTGCATAGGAACAGAACGTGTTTGGAAGAACACACACACACACGCGCGCGCGCGCGCACGGGCTCTGTCTTTAAGACGAGCCTCTGCCGGCCGCGGCAGCCGCCAAAGCCGTCCTGGACGGTTGCAGGGTCAAATGGCTCCTGCTCGTGGCGGCCGCAAGATGCCCCCAGGATCCGAGGCAGCGCACTGGGGAGCACCAGCGGGAAGGGGTCTCTTGCACCCGTGCCCCGCTTTCGGACTCCCCCCGGGCATCAGCTTGTCCGCGACACAAACAGCACGCTGGACAAGGGGGTGCAGAAGCTTCCCTGGGCCACCCCCTTCCCAGCCCCTAGCAGTTCGGGGCAAATTCTCTGTTCCCCCCTGCGAAGGACTGAATGGCCCCTCAAGGGGACGTGAACGGCCCAGTGAGAGTGAAGGGGGGCTGCTCTGGCCCCAGCCCTGCCCGGCCCGGGTGCCACCCAAGCTCTTCCTGCCGGGGACGGGAAGAACCTTTCTCTCCAGGCACCCAAATGCTGCATTGGCTGAGGGCCGGGAGCCAGAAACTCTCTCCCTCCCGCCTTCTGGGGGTGCTGTGAGGATAAGAGAGCGTCGCAGCCCTGATGTCCTTCCTGCAGGAAGGATGGAAAAATAAAATGTATTTTTTGCATCCTAATCTTAGCCGTGTGATCCCCCGCTTCAAGGAGGCACCTTTCTTTAATCCTTCTCTCCATATGGAGGGTGGGACACTAATGCCAAATAAATACTTTACCACCAAGACTTAAATACTCCTATGCTGCACTTGCTCCAGCAATATATCTACACATATACAAATTTTTAAAAGCTGGGCCTTTCTCGCAAAGGGTTTTATTCATGGCCTTGTCTGGCTTAAAAAGATGAGACAGAGCTTAAGTTCAAAAGTGCATTAATACCACCAAAACACAAGCACAGCCCCCAGGGAAATGGGGAAGCGGTGATAAATTTTTAGCATGCGTCTTTTTTTACAAGAAAACTAAAAAAATTAAAGAAACACAGAACACTTTACACGGGTAATGCATTTAAGTATTAATTACGCAATTGGTCTGTCTTGCAGATGGAAAGGGAGAGAGACGAGAGATCTAAAAGGTTTATGAGCGGGGGGGGCACTGGAGTGAGGAGCAGAAAGATTAATGGCGAGGCCTTATATTGGCCATTTCTGCTCCTCGGAGAAGCCTGGCTGCTGGGAGGGGGCCGGGGGGAGCGGGACGCGGGGCTGGCTTCATGGCGGGAGGGTGGAACTGCCCACTGGCCACGCCAGCGTGCTGGCCGGCCGGCCCACCCGCCCCGCAGCCCCGCTTTCCTGGGCCTGCCTCTCTGCTTTCAACATGACCATGTGAGAAAACCAGCCTCTCCCTTCACTGTCCAGCGACACGCCCTTGCAAGGCACTGTTTGCTGCTTGGATCCCTTCCGACCGGCCACTCGGCCTCAGGGGAGACACCACATCCGTTTGGAATGGAAGAGCAACCATGCAGGAAGCCGGAAAGGCAGCTGCTTTGCCAAGAAATGTTTCTATCCCCCACCACAGCGCCTGTGCTTGGACCACCCTGGCCCGGCCTTTTTGTTTTAATTTCGTTTGCATGGGATGCACTGCTTTTTCGTCACGGATATCCAGAGCTATTTTAGCAGGAATTCGGCCCGCCAGCTCAGCAGACATGCGCAAAGGCGACACGGGAACGGAGCCTGCATCAGATGCCTCGGCAAGAGACCCAGCAAGAGGCAGGGAGGGCAACGCGGACGGAGATCAGAAAAGCCGGCTGCTGGCTGACCTTCCAGAGATCAACCCAGCCAGGCCTTCAGACCCCTGGGAACACCAGCTTCTGACAAAAGGAGGCGGGGGCAGGAATGCAAGATCCAAGAGGGAGCGGGGGCAGTGCAGGGTTCACGGGCCACTGGAAAGGCCTGCGGCAAGCGGGGAGGGGCGTCCCGAGGCCAAAGTGGTCCTTGCGGGAAGGACTCGGCACCCCGCTCAGCCTGAGAGGGCCAAGCTGCTCTGCATGCCTTTTGTGAGACGTCCACGGCTTTCTAACCCAGGCAAGCAGCTGACAATCACAAGACACGGTTTGGCAAGGCCCGCCTGGAGCTAGAGTCCCCTTTGGCGGCCCAGGGACGTGGTCGGTAGCCGGAGGCAATGCCCGCTCGCAGCTTGCTAAGAAAGGCGGCCGAGGGTGGGCACAGCTGGGCTGCCAAGGGCGTTGAGCGGGGGCTTCCGCGGGCTCCCCTTACCTGGCAGGGCGAACGTGGTCCGCGTGGCAACGTTGATCTCCTGCAGCAGCTCCAGGGTTTCGGTGTGGAAGAGGCGGATGGAGGAGCCCAGCGAGAAGGCCATCCAGACGCCGCTGCCGGCCTTGAGCATGTGGGTGACGCTGGCGCACTCCTCCGGGTGCGCCTCGAAGGTTTGCTGTGGAGAGAGCAGGGGACAGGCGGGCTGAGCACAGCGGAGGAGGCAGGCTGCCGGTGGGGCAGAGCCTCGTCCCGCCCGTGGGGCAAATCCCTCCCATGCAGGCCAGGCGCCGGCGGTGGGTGGGCCGAGCCAAGCAGGACGGGCCCCTGCCCTGCAACCTGGTCACTCCGCCTCAGCAAAGCATCCCAGCCTTGCAGGAGGAGAAAAGACCTGTGCGAAGCTGGGAGAAACCCCTATCGGTCGCCAAGGGAAGGGGGAATGGCCTTCTTGGAACCACATGCTAAAAACCCTCCCTTGCCCTAAGCCACCTGACAGGACTGAAAGGTCAAATCCCCACTTGCGAGTCCTGCGGGTTTAAAGAAACATTTCTCTGAAGACCTGTAAAACTGGGGATGCTATTAAGCAAATCACAATCCTAATGAGGATAAGTCAAATTTGCAATTTTTGCAAAACAAGAATTTGCTGGAAAAATTAAGAAGAGCCCCCTAGGGGGATTAGAATGTGTTATTATGAACAATATTTCTACCCTGAACTTTATGCAGTACAGTTGACAAATCAGCTAACATAAATAAATATAAAAGGCAACACCGATAACAAATAAATGAATGCTAAATGTATATTAAAAAAGCTTAAACCAAATAGCTAATTAAAGAGCTGCAGAAGGACTCCTGTTCAAAAGTTGTACCAAACTAAAACTAGTTGAATCAGGCGACCAACGAACAGGGCAGGGGCTGGCATCCCCGGCGAGGAGGGCAGTGGCTCTGCCCGGGCGCCACCGCTGACGAGGCCCCATGAGCCCCCACTGGGCTCTGTGGCAGGAGACCCAAAGCGGGGGTCTCACCAGCAAGAACGAGGCCGCCTGGGCTTCGACGCCCAGCACCGGGACGTTATCCAGTGCCGCTCCCGTAAATATCCTCACACGGACGCGGCTGATGTCTTCTGTCAGGGCTTCCCGAGGAGGCTGAGCGTGCAAGTGAACGATCCAATACAAACCACAGAACAGTAAAGAGAGCGGCCCTCCGAAACAGCCTTCCCTGACCTCCAGGTGTGCCGCACTGCAGCTCCCATCAGCCACAGACGCCCGGACCAGGGCCAGGAATGCCAAACCATCTGGAGGACCCCTGGGGCTGTGGAAAGCTGGCCTGCCCCGCCCAGGGTTCCCGGGGGTTCACTCCCAGCCTGCTTAGCTGGAAGGGCCAGGAAAGGACCCCCCCACACATGCAGAAGGCGCGCCTGGCTGCGAAGCCGGCCCCCCCGTCTCCCACCGAGTCCCAGCCTCCGTTGCCCATTTCCCACCATCCACGGAGAGGTTGCATCCACTGCGGAAGGAACCGGGACGATGCAGGGGGCAGCGGGGGGGGCATTTGGCCCCCTGCTCATCAAAGAGCCCCGGTTCCGCTGCACCACCACTCACTCGCCGACGCGCGAGCCTCGCAGACCCAGCCAGCCTCGGGCTCCACGGGTCTGCCTTGCCCTGCTCCCTCCTGCCTCCTCCCCCCCTCTGCCCCCAGGCGGGCACCGCGCGACCCCCTGACCGACGGCCCCCTCCCCACGAACGCAGGAGAGCCGTTCTCCTCCCCCCTCGGCCAGAGCTGCCGCGCGCAAGCCTCGCAGCTTGGAGCGGCCCCATCTTTATTGCCTGCATTATAAAACCCAGAGTATTATGCTGAAAACGCTGACACAACCCCTACCCATGGCGGCAACAGCGGCATTTATGTACCTCGAAATGTCTATATAAAAATCCGAGCTCCTATAAATCCAGCCGGGCAGCGGGGGAAGCATAAAAAGTCATATTAGTATTGATGCGGCATCAAACTTTGCCCGACAGAAGGTGCCAAGGCAGGGCTGGTGCCAAGATCCGCCGCCCGGAGGAAACAAAGAGCGCGGGGCGGGTAAATCGAGGGCTGGCCGTTCGAGCGGCGAGGAAAACAAAGGCCTGGTTCAGGGGCCCCCGGTCCTTTCCGCTCACCGGGAGGGTTGTGGGTGCTCTCACAAAATGGCTGCCGCGCGGGCGGGGCCTGTCCGGCCTGCTGTGGGTGCCGCCGCTCACAGAACACCCGTTGCTCAGAGGGCCAACGGGGGCGAGGCTGGAAGAAAAGGAGCAAGCGCAAAAAACTGGAGCCCCAAGAAGAGGCGGCGCCTGAGCCGCAGGGACGAGTCCGTCCGTCCGTCCGTCCGTCGCAACGGTGCGGGAGGGCAGCCCTCCCCTTTGCCGCAGGTCATGCGTCCAGTGGGCTGGGGAGGGTCTGCATAATCTTAAAGAATGCTAATTAAACCAGCACGGGCAGAGCGCCAAGAAAGGTGTCCAAGGGCAACGTGGTCTCCAGAAGTTTCAGTTTTTAAATCAGCGGAACTGGCGCTTTGCAGAGTCATGGATATTCATCAAGCCGAGCTTTTGCGGCACAAGGAAGCCAGACGACGCCCCGAAGAGGATCCAGCCCCTCGTTCGCCCCTCCGACAAATCTGTGTAATGACACACTAGGAGAACGTGGCCGCTATTCCGGGATCCCCCGGCAGCCCATGAAAACACGACGCACCTCAGCAAGACCTCGCGCACCTGAGATCCGTTTCTTCATTCCCGTGATTCCAATGTCACCTTTGCAGGTGATGCCTATTTGCAAGGTGCACCCGGAGAGGCGGTTCAGGCGGGCGGTGCTTCCGGAGGCCCCGGGGAGAGGGCCTGGGAAGGCAGGCAGCCACGCCGGGGGACATTTTGACCAGACTTCCTCGGGCGGCAGCGAGAGGTGGGGACGGGGAGCTTCTGGGGACGGGGGATGCCCGCCGCGTGCACGGGACTTCTGCGCAGTTCCGCACAGTCACCTCAGCGCCAGGACCTGCTTCCCCTGTAAGGAGCTGAGCCGATCGAGGGCTCGGTTCCAGCGGGAGGCGACGCCTCACTCAGAAAAGCGGGGCAGGCCCGTGACCCTCACCACAACCTTACGAGGTAGGCGCATCTGAGCCAAGGTGAGCCTCATTGCTGCCGCAGAATTTGAACCCAGGTCACCCGGGCCTTAGTCCAGCTCTCGCCCGCAGACCACAGCGGCCTTCCAGATTTGCTCCAGAGGTATCCCGACCTCGCAAACAAGCACCCAGCCGAGGCAGGCGCTGCCCTGCTTTGGTTTACGGCCCCGTATAATAACAGTCCTCGTGCGAATGATGGAGAACGGCTTCCCATTATTTCTTTCTCCATCTGGGGAAAATGACCTGCTTTCTATCCTCCAATTGCATTTTGAGTTGTTGCCTTTTAGGCTAAGAAAATGACTGTCGATATTCCTCTTGTTTATATCGCCACGGAGTTTATTTCTTCTGCCCGGGCCAAGGAATCGATGTGCTGTCACCGCGACGATCCCTCCCCGATGCCGGCACCTGCAAGGAGCCTGATGGGTTTCCGAATCCCCTGGGAAAAGCACCCGCACGTGAGACGACACCACTTCTGCCCCGGCACTTCCGCCCGGAAGAAAACTGCAGGCTAGAGAAAGATGAGGGCCGGGGTACAGATCCTCTTTCGCCCTGAGGGCTGGATCCTATTTGGGGGAGGCTCTGGGGGGCCGCATCCCAGTGGGGGGTGGGGCTGACAGTCAAAAGAGCAGCAGTCCCAGTACATTCCAGCCCCAGGCTTTTCCTGCCAGTAACTTGCTTCTGGGGAGGCATCTCAGCACTGTAAAGTGGGGGGGGGGGGGGGGGTAGGGGTGGGGTTGGGGGGGGGGAAGTCCCCAAAGGGGGGGGGGGGGCGCTCAGGGCAAAGGGGAGTGGCCACCCAGAGGCCCAAGTGGCCTGATTTAGTGGCTGGACCCGAGATCCTGCACTCCGGATGTGCGCCCCGATTCCGACAATGAAAAAGCCGCCTGCCTCTGCCGCCACCGACATGTGGATCCCTTCGCTGATCGGGACAGACCCTCCTCGCGGGGGTAGTGATCAAACTGGGGGGCACGTGTCTCACCCACCGCTAGCTTATGGCGGCTTCCCCCTCCCCACTCCGAGCGGCAACCACTTCGGCTTGCAAGGAATGCACTCTGCAGAAACTCAGAGGAATTCTCCCCTCTCCGGAGGAGAGCGCATAAGCGGCGTGAAAAGGATGCCGCCCGCAGAGCCCCGGAGATCTCGAGCGGCCCATCCCCACATCCCCGAGACCACCCGAAACGGCAGCATGAGCTGGGACACTCGTCCGCAGGGCCAGCTCTCCCCCAAAGGGCTCCCTTCGCACCGCCCCCCGCCGTTCCGCCCCCACGATGCAGAGCCGGGGCCCCGCTGGCCCCGAGTGCCGCTCGTTCGGGCCTTTTAAAAGCTCTCCCGCTCCGCTGCTTCGGCCTCGTTAAAGTCCCCGCACTCCAGCAGCTCCCCAGAAGCTAATGGGCGCACAGAACAAGGCCAGCCTCGCCGGGACCGAGTCAGCAGGGGAAGCGAGCGCTGAGTTGCCACTTTCCAGGTCACGCCGCCTCGCAACAACACAGAACTCTGCCGTGCGCGCTGGAGCCATTTGCTCCTAAAAAGCCCCGGCGGAGAAGCAAATCGGATCCCCCGGCAGCAACACCAAGTGGAAGATTGGCCTGTGATTGCCGGTGAACTAACAAGTTGGAGGAAGCTGCTCGGCGGGCAGCGCGGAATCTAGGTCAGGCCATCTCGGAGTAGGCAAGGCCAGGTTTGCTGCAGTGCCCCCCCTCCTGAGGATGTGCTTTAGCAAAGCACAGACCCCCCCCCATAAGCAGAGGGGGATACGCTGCAGGAGTCGGACGGGCGAGGCGGAGGAACGCTGGTCCGACGCTGCTATGCCCGCACACACAACACCCCCCACCTGCCGCCCGGCCCTTCGTGTTCTTTCTCCCCCTGTATTATTAGTGCTTCCCCATTATCCTGCATGCTAAACAGGCCATTCCAGGCAGTTTGCAATGATTTAACAAAAAACCCAAAACTTAATAAAACCACCGAAGTAAAAGCAGCAAAAAACAAGCCATATATTTAAAGACCAAATTAAAACTATGCCTCTTCACGCCATTCCTGGAGGCCAAGAGAGCAGCAGCATCTCATCGTCCTGCAGAGAAGACAGCTGGGGAATGACGCAGGAGAAAAAGCCCCTTCGAGGGGGCCGGGGAAACAGACCCCTGGAAGCCCCTCCAAAGCCCCGTCCGAGGGATCTTGTCACCTGGGCAGGTGCGGGGGAGACAGGCAGTCCCTCAGGTAGCCCTGGCTTAGCTCCAGGGAGCGGCTCCTACCACCATCCAGGGACCTGCATTTCCGCTAGGAAGCTCTGGCCCAGCACGGAGCTTCGGCCTGCCTTGACTCCCACGGCTTTGAGCAACTGCGGCGGCCGTCTCGTCCCAAAGCCACGGCGCTGCCCCGAATCGGCCACAGCCCCCACTGCTGTGCCTCTGTGACAAGGGACAGCTGACCGTCAGCTGGAGGCCGTGCTGACAAAATTTGGTATGGCTCTCGCACAATTCAGCAACTGACCCCTGAAGTCGCACGCTTGGCACAGTTCACCCCCGACACACACACACAGAGGGCTGCAAACTTCCTGAATAATAGAATGGGGATGCCCAGGAGGTGGGCCAGAAGCTGCAGGGACCATCGGCTGAGAAATTTGCAAAGAACAGTGCCCTGGCGCACACCCCCCGCTGGGGGTGGCTGCTGACAGGGACGGAGGAGGAACACTTTCCAGTTTGTGTTTTATCAGGATTTACCCAGCTCACACCGCTCAGACCCATCGTGATTTTGAAAGCGGTCCAGAGTGAACGTCTGCGCATGCCAGAGCTTGTGCGGTTATATGCAGGCCTGCCCTTGCACACGAAAAGTGTGTACGTTTGGAAAAAGCACTTGAAAGTACGTGCAGTTTTGGAAAATGTGCACACCAGAAACGATGAGAGAAGAAGGCGTACACTTCGGAGAAGCGCAAGAAACGCACCTTTTCACGCACGCAGAGAAAGGGAAGGGAGCATCTGATACAGACGCAGAACAGAGCGGGCTCTGAGGTTGAATCTCAGGAACTTCGGAGAATTTGGAATTTGCACCCATCGCTTTTGTACAATTCTGCGAGGGGCACCTCAGCGAGCGGCTGAGCCAGAGGGTTCAGGAAACACTGGCGCTTGCACATCCCTACAGGACGGGGAGAAACGGATTCACGTGACGGCACCGGGCAACCTTCACTAATGGCACACTTTCGCCCTGCCAGAGAAGGTGCGACCTGGTTCTCCCTCACAGCACGTGACTACTGGAGTTTTCATTCAGAGAACTGCATAAACAACAAGCGTATCTATCTGGGAAAAGAACATTTAAACATGCCCTCGATGGGGAAAGGCGGCTTGCAAAAATTATGTATCTCTTAGGCAAGCAAGCATAGAGGAATGAGCATCAAAGAAAGGTCGGTTTGCCAGAAGAGAGACTTCACGCTTTACAACAAGGACATAAAGATCTTGAAAAGGATCGCTGCTCTCCTCAGGGCATTAGCTCAAACCTGTACCAGATTAAATAAGACAGATGAAACACTTTGCATTGGAGAAAATTAATGATTCAGACTCTTGGATTTTAGCCTTGTCTACTTCATCTTTGGCAGCCTGAAGCTTCGATAAAAGTTGGAAACTGTAGCCCAGAAAATGGTGGCGCTGAGAACGAGGAGTGAACCCACTCCCTCCATGGTTCTCTGCTTCTCCAGTGAAGCCACGAGGAGGAGAAGGTTGAGAAGCAGGAACCGCTGGCAAGAAAGGTGCAGGCGGACTCCCTGAGGGGCCGGGCTGGAGGAGGCCAACTCGCCCGAGGACCCCCCAGGCCCTGGAGCCGGCACTGCTCGGACCGGTCACCCACCTGTGCCTTCAGGCTGGCTGCGTCGAACACAGTGACTTGGTTGCCACAGCTGGCCCAGAGGGCATCTTCCAAGGTCAGCAGGGTCCGCACCGGCTCCAGCCCCACCGTCAGACAAGAGGGCTCAGCTTCCAAGTCCCAGAGTCCCCCTGGAGGGAGGGAAAGCGGGGAGCAGAATAAGGTGTGCTCACACGGGCCGGGTGAGGAACAGAAAGGCATCGTGGAAATCAAGCGCTGGGTCCAAGTTGCGGCCGGCCCCGGGGAGAGAGCACAGAGAGACATTCTGATTTGAGACTGCTGGGAAACATGGAACCAGAGCAAGTCAGAAGGGGTCTCCCGGGCCATCTAGTCTGACCCCCTGGCTCCAGCCAGCTCCACTCACAACATGCCCGCCATGTGCATGTCCAGCCTCGCCTTGAACACCCGCACCGATGGGGCTTCAGCCACCTCCTGTGGGCAGGTTCCTGGAAACCCGAATTCACCTGAACCCACAGCGCCCCCCACCAGCCTTTTTGCTTCAGGGGAACTCTGGCAGTGTCTTGGCCCCACTCAAAATGCTTTTCAGATGGATTTGTTTACGGAAAAGGTGTGGGGCAGGAGGAGACGGCTCTGCTGCTCGCGGGATCCAGGTGCGCTTTCCGCAACGCTGTTTTTGCCGAGCTTGCCCCTTGCCGACGCGAGTGGCAGATCCACCATCCCCGCTTCTGCCAAGGAGACAGGGGCCTCGCTCCTTCAGCCCCCCAACACTTCACTTTGCCTCCCCTACCCCCTGATGCACACACTTTAATTAAAAAACATAAACGGCTTATCAAAAGCTAATTAATAAAAAGCCACACAGTGCCAAATGGAGTTTGGAAATCTGTGCATAAACATCCGTTTATAACCCCGGAATGCAGGGCAACGAGTCACAGATTGAGGGCATTTAATGGAACACGGGGAAGGGGGAGACAAGCACAGTGTGGGAACACGGCACAGAGCTGGGGGCCGGGAGGTGGGCCCGCACCTGGCGAGGAAGAGGAGCCGATCCAGCCACCTCAGGCGAAAAGCAGAACATGGGCTGGCATCCAGCACCACCGGGCCAGCGCCACAGGTAAGCCTGCCGGGCACCTGCCAAGGTCGCCCCTTGGCCACAGCGGTGATGCAAGAGAACACGGAGCAGGAGCAGGAGAGGACCGACCCCGCGAAAGAGGAGTGCTTAAGAGTCCGCCACGCCTTCCCAGGCTGAATCAGGCCGACCCGAGCTGGGGCGGGTTTCTCCACCCAAAAGTTACAGGGGAAGGTGAATTAAAGCACAGCCAACGGGCTTCAGGGGCCGTAAAACAGCCGCCTTCCCCTCTGCCAGGGAGAACTGACAGCCGATCAATAGGAAATTACAGCGCTTTCAAATTGGGGGTTTTGTCTCAGGGCCTGGAATCCGGGAGCTGCATTTTGAAAGCCAATTAGCATAAAGTGTTTTGGGGGATAAGATATGGAGCGTGTTTCTCCCACCCCTCTTCTTCCTCGGCTTCAACAAGCAGGAAATTAAAATAGATTTCAAAGTAATTAAAGGCACTGGAAGCAAGAGGTGGATGAAAACCTCCCCTTGAGGGGAACCTCAGAGAGCCACGGCACTATTTAAGCCAGAATCTTGTAGGCGGGCTCCCGCCAGCTGTGTTGGACTACAACTCCCATCATCCCAAAGGCCGGGCTGAGCAAGCTGAGGCCGCACGCCTGCCCCCAAGGGGCCCCTCCCAGCTCTCGCTCTCTCTCGCACGCACGCACAAGCAGGCACAGGCACATCCACGTGACGTGAGCATCTGGATGTCTCGCACGTCTCCTGAAATTAAATCAAGCTGACCCCAACGAGGCTGGATGGGGACCATGGGAGTTGCAGCCCGACACGTCTAGAGGGCCGCGGACGAGAAGCACGGGGAAGCTTTCGACGGGCGCTCTTGACATTTCCCGGAGCCGTGACCAATGCACACCAACGGGCGTGCGGAGGATGGACATGGGGACTTGGGTGCGGCTGGCAGGCGCACCAGGTTGTTTCTCGCTCCTTTTGCGGGATTGCCAGCCATGGAAGCCGCTGGGGTTAGAAGGAATAGGAGGAAGGAGAACGCAGGAGGCGAGCCAGGCTGGGCCGCACCAGGCTGAGTGGACCAACACGCCATCCTCAGGCAGCGCTGCCTTGGCCCATCCAGCCCAGTATGGCCAGCTCTGACCGGCAGCAGCGCCCCGTGTTCCAGGCAGAAATCTTTCCAGCCCTTCCTGGAGGGGCTGCCAAGGGTAGTTCCTGCACTCTGCCAGCAAAGCAGGTCCCCTCCTTAAGCCAGGTCCTTTGGGGCCTATTTTCTTTTCTACTTCGGGTTGTTGTTGTTGAAACGGATCGCTGCAAAGATACAGTTTTGAAACAGAAAGCTGATAAATACGTCACTTGACTTCCAAAGCTGAAGTGGCTATGAAGCAGCACTCCAGTGTGAAATTCCAGGTGGACGCTCCAGGCAACTTCCTTTTCAATTCTTTCAAATGGGAAAAGCTGTGTTTTTCGAGAAACCTGCATTTTTCTCAGACAGCTCTACATTTTTTTCAAGGGAAACCTTTTGCAAACACGAAGGAGTTTGCAGAGATTCGGAGAACGCAGACTCCTGCTCTCATGTGTGTTTGGGATTGCACTTGGGGCCTCTGAGTGATTTGCAAACAGAAATTAAATCCTCACACAGCCCTGGCTGCTCCCAAGAATCCCGGACTTGCTGAACCAAGGGTCTCATGCAGCATAAGGCGCTTTCCAATATTCCTAAAAGGTATCCAAGGAACCCATGAGAGAGAGAGAGAGGACGCTGGTTTCTGGAGTCGGGCTCCTTCCCCAGGAAAGGTCAAAAGCTACAGGGAGAAGCGGCCTCGGGGAGACGGACTGAGGCAAAAGGTCCCTCAATCGCCGCAGCTCACCAGTGCTCCTGGGGTAAGCGGCGACGGTCCCATTCTGCAGGCCGGCGAAGAGGTAATCGGGGTTGTGCTTCAGGCAAAGGACTGGCTGAAGCCCAGGGCTTTTCCCTGACAACAAGCACTGCGTCCCAGTGTCCACGCTTCCGTAAACCAGGATGCTGGAGGAGAAAAACATGTGTTGGAGACGGACAGCAGTGAGCTCTCCGGGAGAAAAGCGAGCAGCACAACAGCCCGACGCAGCAAAACTAGAAAACAGCGGGTGACCCCTAGTGGAAGATAAGCCGTCTGAGGCTCTTATCCACAGAAGAGGCTCTCAATGTCCGATCTGTCCCGAGTCGGAGGGGACTGTGCATCTGAGCACACACAGAGTGCCCCCCGCCCCCCTCCGGGCAACTGCGACCAGCACATCCGCGCCTGGCGGACGGGGCCCTGGTGCAGAGCGCCGGAGGGGCAAAGCTTGCCTTTCAGAGGGGGAGCCCTTCCCACACGCAACACGCCAGCGCAAAGCACACGGGATCAGGTGGGCCTTGCTGGCTGCGCTCGGCCAGGGGCCGAAGCCCTGGGGGGCTGTGGTGCCGCGGGGGCCCGAAGGGAAGGGGTGGCGCCAGGGGGCCAGATGCCAGCTTGGTCCTTGGGAAGAGAGGACGAGCCGCGCAAAGGCAAGGGGCAGATCGAATGCGTGGCAGGTGGGGAAAGACAGGGCTGGGGCCCTTGGGGATGCGAGAGGGCAGAAGGGGTGGGTTTCGCCCTGGGGTCTGAGGCTGAATCCCGTGGCCCCCAAGGAGACCTCGGGGCCCGCCCGGGGGCGAGAGAGCATGGAGCACCGACTCGTGCCGACGAACACGCGCTCTCACCCCGCTTCCTCACCTGCCATCCTGGAGCCCAAGGCAGATGGCCGGCTGTGCCAGGACGGGCTGGCGGTCGGTGGCCGTCTGCGCGTCCTCGCTCTTTCCCTCCTCGCTCCTCTCAGGAATGTATTCTGAACAGAGAACTAGGGAGGCCACGGGGAAGGACTTGACTGTCCGAGGCACCGGCCGGTTCAGGGAGAAGATCTCTACCTGCCCCCCGGCCCCCTCCTGGCCGCCCCCGACCTGTGACACCAAAGCAACATGGAAGGACAGCGTTAAGCCTCCGAGCGGAGAAGGGCCCTCCCAACCGATTCATCCCACGGTTATTCCAGCCCGGGGCCTGGGGGCGAATCCAGCCACGTGGGGCTCCCCCACGGCCACACCTCCTGCCACAGCCAGCGACCAGGCGGAGCTTCCCGGGTGTCGCGTGCTTCCGGCCATTGTGCACGTCTGCTGGGGAGGCCAACTATCAGAGATGCGGGTGAAACAGGCTGCGTTGTTTCCACTTGCCTGTACGGGAGGGGGCCGTTTTTGGCCCGGCCTGCTGCACGTTCAGCTCCACACCCAGGGGGCTGGGAGAGGTCTCCCCGCTCTTTCAGCAGCCCCCCATGCGTATTAAACAAGCTGGGGAACATCTGGGTCAAGCTCGCTGAGCGTTTGCAAGGGCTTGGCTTTATGTTCCTCAGAGTCAAAGGAACTCCCAGCAGCTTTCCCCAGGGGCTTGCCCTGCAGAGCTGCTGACTCCAGTTCCCATCATCCTGCTAGAGCACATCTGGAGGGGACCGAGTTAGGATAGGCTTGGCTACAGAATCCTGGGAATGGCAGCCCCTTGCCCAGTTTTCAACCCCCTTGCAAAATCACTATCCGCCAGCTCCTCTGCCGTGCCTTCCTTCCTCACCAGCCCTTCCTCCAGCTGGGGCTGCTCCATTCCAGGTGCCCCGCAGGCCTCCCCACTCGACAATATCCAAAACGTTTCTTTCCTTCCCCCTTTGCACACTCCCTCCCCACGTGCCGGCCTTTGTGGCACTGTGATGCAGGCACACAGCACAGCCAGATTGTCCTGAACACTCTCGCGTGCCTCCTCTGTCGCTCGCAAAGCAACCCACGAACCACCCGCTGCTCTGGATTCGCATGCAATGACAACCCATGGCCTAACTCTGCAGAGCTCGCAACCCAACCAAAACACATGGGCTCTTTTCCTAGACTGTTGGTGGTTCTGCTAGGGAAAGAACAGGGGTGAAAGCCCTTCGGATGCAGAAAGCCCTCGGCTCCCGGGGACCTAAGCAGAATCGAAGCACAACCTGCAGCCAGGCGAAGTGGCGGTGGGGGGGGGGGGCTCACGCAAAGCTCGGCAGCCGTTTTGGGACCAACTCACCCAGAGGTAGCCTTGGGGCAGGGAAGTGCTGACAGCGGAGAAACCCAGCAGGGAAGACTGGACTGGACTGTGCACGGCCGTCCCCAGCTGCACACAGGATGAAGGAGGAAGAGGAGGAAAAAATCAGGAGTACAAAGCGTAAAAGGGTGGAGGGCATTTAGCCAGTTTGATTGCTGAAGTTGTTCTGGGTCACATTAACTAAACCGATCGCAAGCAATTCACCAATACGATCACTCTTCGGAACCAAAACACAAACCCACAATCTAAAATTTTATCTGGCACCTGCATAAAGCTGCTGCTGGCAGGGAGGGCGTCATTTGGCAGCATGCGAGGCCCCCCCCCCCCCCCGTAAAATGCAGCATTGTGCAGATTTCTTTTTTAAGTGTTAAAAATCAGCTAAACTCAAGCGCGGCAAAGAGCCCTGGTGGGGGCCAGCAGAGGGGTCCATGCGCACCCCACCGGAGATTCTCAGAACGGAAGGCGCCGGCACGCTCCGTCCCTCGCGCCTCCGAGCGGCCGTGGCTGGAGAGCCGCCGCAGGCAGGAGCTCAGCTTCTCCAGGCGTCTGCACGACCATGGTGGGAGGCAGGATCCTGGCCTGGAGGGGCCCCGGGAAGCCGCCAGATGCAGTAGAGGCCGGAGACAACCCTGCAGCTGCGGGTCTGTGCCCTGCTCCACCTGGCTCCCCCTGCACGCAGCAGCTGCAGAAGCACTGCACTGGCCCGTCTCCAGGCCGGGAGCTCAACCCTGGAGTGGAGGGAATGAGGCGCTCCAGAAGGCAGGGAAGCAGGGAGCCTCGGGGACTCCGGAGCCCACTCCCAAGTGCCCCAGGTGGAAACCACTGAAAAAATACAGGGCCGCCTGCGGGGGGAAGATCGCCTCTGGCGCGCCTCTTTCGCAGCACAAGCCAGCAAGCCTGGAGGGTCCCAGCAGCATGGGTTCAAGAGGCGGGCGGTGCCCCGAGCTTGGAGAAGCACGGAAGGGGGCAAAATAGTGACCCCATCCTCTCCGGGTGTCACAACGGCCTGGAAAGGCAACCGACAGGGACCCGAAACGTTTCGTGCCTTCTCAAAATCAACCTCGTGGCGCTGCTCCTTTCCACCAGAGGTGAAAATCAGGGGCCCTTTGAAGCCAAAGGACACACAAAAGGCCCAGCTCAAGCTGTTCCAGAACCTCCGGGGGGAGGACGGGAAGGCAGCTTTGTAGATTAATCACAATATATATGAACAAAAACTTCCCCTCTTCCAGCTGCTTCCTTTTATCATCTCTCGCGGGGAGGGGGAATAAACCAAAGCGCAAACCCCACAGCCAGGCTGTTCGGGGGGGGGGGGGGGTGGGGCTGTAGAGACAGGCTGCCGTTCCCTGGAGGAGCTCTTGCCGCCGTTTGGTTTAATTAGACAAAACGGCAGCCAAGCCTTCAGGAGGGAACACACGCGCAGGCCCTACGCCGACACGGATCGTCCCTCCAGAGCCGGAGGGAGGAACAAGCGGGACGCAGCCGGTGGCCCAAACCGCCGCACATCTGTTGCTGCCACTAATTGGACATATATTTTTTAAAGGGGACATTCAGGAGACCTCCATTGTCCGTGAGACGGGAAGGTGGCGATTTTTAAGGCGAGGGATTGGAGCGCGGTGGCCCAAAGGCTGGGCTTCATTTTGAAGACTCCCCTGGAGACCACCCCCCGCTGGGGTGAACGTATGTCCACGCATTTCAGCTTCAAACTCTTCCAACCGGTGACTAAGCCTTAAAAGATGCCGCCCAGTCTTCCGAAAGCAGGGCATGGCTTGAAATAGAAGTGCTGGAACGACGGGCCTTGTCAGAGAGGGATCCGGCCAGCTGCGGAGCCGCCAGAGAGCCCGACGGAGAGTCAAGGTCGGTGTCTCAGAGGCACACGCACCAAGACAGGCTGAGCTTGAGCGTGGGAATGACCCGCAGAGGGAAGTGTACAAAGGTTGCAGCTGGGGACACAGCAGAGGTGAGGCCAACCCTGCAAAGAGGCTGGAATGCAGCGCAATGCTTGATCGTGGAAAGACACTTGCTCCCCTCCGAGATACGGGGCGCGCTTCACGACCGGGTGGCACAGAAGGCTGAGGAGCAACCGCTGGTCCGATGAGCAGCATCGCCCAGTGCCTGGAAGCCCCCTTTTCCGCCCCCAGGTGGGCAGGGGCTGTGGTGGACACACAGCAACAGAAGAGAGCACTCTGTGCATGCGCATCCTTCGTGGTTTTCCGTGGGGCGTCCCCGCCTGCTGCCTCCACAAAGAATCCTTGAGTGAAGAGGGAACAAGCCAGAGCGCTCCAAAAAGACCCACGGGCCTCACGGAGAAGCAGGGAGGGAGGAGGGGCTCCTCTCCAGCCATGAGGGCCTTCTGGGAAGATATCTGCAAAAGATTCTGCCCCGGAACAGCTGTGGAAGCCAACCTGGGACATTGCCCAGGTGTTCTGGAGGAGGGTCAAAGACAAACAAGCTGTCTTTCCTCTGGAAAGCTGCGCCAGTTCCTGCCATTCTCGGGCTAACAAGTGCCTTGGACCCTTCCATCTATCGGTCTCTCCTCCCCGAAGCGCTGCGGCATTCCTGGGCTATCGACCGCGTGCGGGCCAGCCGAAATAGCTCGCTAATAGTGGCCCAGGGAGAGCCGCGCTGGCTGCTTCTCTCGCTACGTCGCTGTGAAGTTGCCGCGATTAGTGCGAACGGGCCGGGCACTCTCGCACGGGGGTCAAGAGTTCCCGGCTGGAGGGCGCCTGCAGCATGAATCCGGCGCAGACAGCAGCTCTCCAGCGCCTGGCGGGCAAGTTCCAATCGAGAGGCGAAATCCAGCACCGTGACCTGCCTGCTCGGAGCCTCAGCTTAAAACCCGCCACCCGCCCGTCTGCCGAACGGCCGGAGGCCCTTGTTAACCGGCACCGACGCTGTGAACGCGACGGCGGCAACATGGAGACTGCAGGCACCAGTCTGCTCTCCCTTGGCTCTTGTCTATTCATCTCCTAAGAGCGCCTCTGCTCCCCAACCTGGGAGGCTGGCTTCGCGCTTACCGCCCTCCAGAGCCGGCTGCACTTGGGCTCCAGGAAACAGCTCGGGGCTTGGCCCTTAGCCCCGCCTGCGCTTAGGCTCTTCCCTCTTTCGGCCTCGCCGGGCTGCCTTCTGGGAGCGAGAGTGCTGTGGCCAGCTGTGCCCACAGCCAGTTTACGAATGGGCAGGTTCCACCCCCAGGCAGCCACCTCTGAGGATGCCGGCCCCCGTGCTCCCACCAGATCGCTGTTCCAAAACGGCTGCGGGCCCCTGGACACGGGCGGAAGGCGCACACCCTGTGCTACAGAGGGAGGGTCCAGGGTGGTGTGGACATGGGAGAGCTGAACCGGGACTCGGGGGACCTGGGTTCGAGTCTCCACGGGGCCCCCTGGGTGCCTCTGCAGCAGCTGCAGACTCCCTCACGGAGCTGCCACGAGAATAAAATGGGGACAAGGAAGAGGACTGCATAAGCCGTCTTGGTTTCTTTGCAGGGCAAGGGCAGGCCAGACATAGAATAAATAAATAGATATTTGAGTGTCCGAGGAGGACGGCCTCGTGCCACAGGCTGTTTTCCTGTGCGGATGGGAAGAGACCAGAGCCCCGGGAGAGTGTCCCGCAGGGAAGCGCTCTGAGCTAAAGCGGGTGGCGTTTTGGCCTCCCCCACCCCGGAATCCGGCCCCCAAGGGCCTCGGATTCAGCTCTCGGGCAGAAAGAGGCTCCATGCTCCTGGAACGGACACCCCACACGAGGGGGCTGCTGGTCTTCCGCCGCACCGGCCAGCCCCCCTCCCCTGGGGCCAAGCAAGCCCTCCAGGCTCCAGCTGCTCCCCGCCAGTCTGCCAACCCAGCATCTCCTTCACGTGGCACGTGGCCCTTCCCATCCGCAGGCCCTCCTAGTGCTAGGCACGTGGCAGAGAAGAGGAGGGGAAAGGAAGCTTCGGGCCGCCCCTTACCTGCAGGTCAAGCGCCCTGGAGGAGAAGGCCGGGAGCCGGCAGACCAGGATCGGGCACCAGAAGGGAGCTTTGCTCTTTTTGTCCTCCTCGGGACACAACCATCCTGGCTGGTTCTCTTCCCCTTTAGCAAAAAAGAGCACAGAAAGGGAGAGAAAGACGGTGAGAGCCATGGCACACACCAGCCTTCCCCCCCCCCCAGCGTCCTCCGGCTGTGCTGGACTACCCCGGACCCAACTGACTCACGTTAGCTGAGTCAACATTAGGAAGTGGTGCGTTCGGCAGGCAATGTTTTGCAAGCACAAGTCTGAGCATTTGCAAACCGTCTTGGATACCATGTGTGTGCCCAAGCTCCCGTTTGCTCTCAGGACTGTGACGGACGCGCGTCCGAGTGATCTGAGAACGGGGACGACACTCAGATTCAAGCAACTAAAGGCAGCACCAGCGAGCAAGCCTGGAGTGTGAGGGAGGGCGGGAGGGAGTGTGAGTGAGCCAGCATCCGGCATGCTGCAGAAGGGCCTCCGCCGGGTTCAGGGGCACGGCCGAGCGAGATCCCATCCGCGGGTCCACAGCTCAGCAGAAGACTGGCACCTTCCGCAAGACCCAGCCACCCACCCGTTCCAGGCGTTGCCGGCGGGTCCTCGTCAGCACCACCTCGTTGCACTTTGGAGCTCTGTTCCACCCTGTCTCCTTTCCTGCTTTCCTCCCTGTTCTTGACTGCTTTCTCCGTAAGTCGTCAAGCTGGCAAAGTTTTGTCCTGGGACTTGCGAGGTGCAAACTACAGGTCCCTGATGCTGCATCACGTGAAAAGCACGGCCACCCCTAGGCTTGTTTGCTCAGCTTGAGAGTTTCCTGGGAGTGCTCGTCCGTGGCTTTTGATAGCCGGCGGCTACAAGCCGCTGGTCACCCCAACCATCACATTGTCAGGGACAAGCAAAAAGCTGCCCCACCCTCTGGAGAGAGTCAGCACAAGCGAGAGCCTCTTCGGAGCTGCTGGGAGGACGGAGCCTTCTCCAAGCATGGCAACAGCTTTGGTGGGGCGAATAACGCCGCTTTAAAAAGATTAGCGTTTCCACTTGGATGCGTGCTGATTTGTATACAAGGCAGAAGCAAAAGCCTTTGCCCCCCCACCCCCCGCCTCCCCTGTCAAAACCGCACATGCAAGCAATTCCACACCTAAACAAAAAGCACCACCAGTGACGGCCATACAGGGAAAAGGAGCCAAGCAATAATAAAATGAAACTTTAAAAAAAAAGGGTTCCTCCACATTATAGCTTTTAACGCATCTTATTTTTAAGTGGCAGTTGCAGTCATTTTCCCCGGGGCGCCTCGGATTAAAATAGGCCAACAAACAATTTTGTTTTGTTGTTGTTGTTGTTTTTTTAAAAAAACCAGGCAAATCAAGTCATCAGCGCTCAGGGGAAGTCGGGAATTCAAATAAGATTTCAAATGAATTCCCCCCACCCACTCTCTCTTCCATTTAGAAATAAAAGAGGGAAAGAGAGGCTTTCTTGCCGCAGTGGCTGCTGGAGTCAAACAGAAAAGGAGATAAGACGACAGAGAAAGCATCTTGAGGGAGCTCGGAGTTGAAATGTAAAAGGGAGGTTGGAGACTGCCCAAAACCGTTTGCTGTTTTACTTCCCTCCGGTTAATGACAAGATTAAAGGACAGGGCTTGCTCAGCACAGCAGCCCCGAACAATGACATTGCCGGCTTGTTCATTTCCAGCTCCTTTTTTTCAAACTTCCCCCTCCCAGCAAAACTTCCAGAGGGGACCTGCTCCATTTAAGGCGATTAATGGGGGACGTTAGCCTTTTTAACAGCCTACCTGAGCCAGGAACAAAGAAGGCTAACGAGCTTCTCCAAAATAACTGGAGCTGAGCTGAAATTTCTCAGCTGACTTTTTAATGAGATGTTTCTTTTGCTCACTTCCCTGGAAGCAGCAATCCAGATTTTTCTTAGATTCGGGGCTGGCACATTTGGGTACCTGGCCAAGTGCCCACACGCCCCATGGGACCCACTGCCCAGGGCTTCCGGCCCTGCCCCCCTCTTCCCCATGGCGACCTGCGTCTTCACCTGCCTGCCTGCCACTGGGCCTCAAACCCACTGTGCCCTGTGGGCTGGCTGGACCCTGAGGAGGAGGAGGAGGAGAAGGAGGAGTCCCCGGCGAGGCTTGCAGATTCTGCTCCCGGGGGCTCCGATCCGCAAGACTCCCAGAAAATCAGGCGCACACACCAGAAGCCCTTTAAGCAGGGGAGTGGAACTGACCACCCACATGGCCCTGGAAGAGAGGTTCCTCCAGGGCACAGGTCTGGGCATGGCTGGCCCAGACCGAAGGCTCGCTCCCCGGAGAAACCAGGCAGATGCCAGCTCCTGTCTGTGTGAGGATTTCACTTCAGGCCTACATCTTCCAGCCTCGCCCCCTCACAATCCCAAACGCGAACGCAAGCTGGAGCACTGCAGACGGATCGCACATCACTTTCAGAAAGTCTGCACTTTAAAAGGACGTGCCCTCTGAAATGTGCATTTCCCAAAAAGGAAAGGCCATGTTGCCTGTTGGTGCACTAGTCGGAGGGGAGAACACGCTCCCTTCTGAAAACCCCGTGGAAAGGTGCCCCTTCCCCTCAAAGTGCATCCCAAAGCGAAGCTCTGGGAATTTCGGTGGAATTGAATCCCAGTTCTCCTGATGCCAATCGGAAACTCAAAGGGAGAACATGAGAGGTAGCTGAAACGCAGGAGACCTGGGGATGATGGGAATTGTGCTCCAGCACAACCGGGAGGGCTCCACCCGCCCTTTTTGCCTCTGCAACACAAAGGCTGACATACGAAAAGCTGCGCAAAGTCCAGGCAGGCAGCGAACCACCGAGCTCCTCTCTGCCTCTTTCCCGGAGATCCAGCCGGAGCGCCTGCCGCTTCGTGGGAGAAGAGGAGTAATTTATTTCTCTCCTTTGCCAGGGGGCCTTGAGGAACAGCGGCACGGCTCTTTAATTACAGAAAGAATTAAAAACGCAAACCGAACGGAGACTAACGGCAAGCAGGAGTGGCTCGGGGCTCTCCCCAGAGGCGGGCGCTGAAGCCACACGTGTGCTGCTTGGCACGGAAGGGCAACGAGAGCCGGCGTTGCTTCACGGGTGGCAAAGGAGACGGTTCTCGGTGCGACGGAGGGGGCGGGGGCGCTGCTAAATCCTTCCAATTTCCCTTCAAAGCTCAGTTCGGCTCAGCCCCAGCCTTGTCTGCAGCCTCTGCTCTTACTCCGCTGTTCTTTCAAATGGGCGAAGTAGGACGTTTGGGCGGGGCTGTACCTTCCTCAAAACTTAGATTTCATTTTATTATTACACACCCCTTGCATCATGACTCTTAGGTGCGTCTGTTCAGAGGGTTACCTGTTTCTCAAGCACATATTACGCAAAACCTGAAAGCCTGCATACTATACGGCGATCGTTTGGTTGACCGGATGAATAGCAAAGCCAAGTCGTTACTCACGGAGAGCAATTTTGGCCAAGTGCAAGCGATTCACCCAGGAGATTTTGCTGAGGGGGTTGGGAGTGATGAAGACCACCATGACGCTGACGGGGCGCCCAGACCTGGGTGCAAGAGCAAGGCAGAAGAACAGAAATCAGGACGGCGCCGTTGTGTCGCGCCGGTTCCCCAGCCCACGGCAGCCAGCAAGCCTGGAGACAAACCGCGGAGCCTCGCAGAGCAGCACAAGGCACATGCGGACCCACACGTACTTGTCTGGCTTCCCCGGAAGCAGGAGGCGGAGGCGGCACTTGTTGGCAGAATGGATCTCCTCCTCCTTCACCCTCATCAGCCTCTGGAGGGCTAAGCACCAGTCCTGAGCCACCGTCATGTTCAAGTTCTAGGAACAAGGGCCCAGAGAATCAAGGCAGGCTGCTGCTTCCCCGGGAGACGCGAAGCTGGTGGCCTTCTGGTGAAAGGTCTTCCAGATGCACCTGGGGCCCACACCGTTTCTTCGGGGCCCCCCCGCCCAAGGGAGCCCCCAGCAGTTCCACTGAAAAGGCTGCACACAGTCTAAAAGTCTGCGTCAAAAAGAGGCGTCTCCACACGCTTCCCACGCGCTACGAGCGGGAGGTGGGAACTTCAGCTCTCGGGAGTCACGGGCTGGGGCGCCCCGGACTCACCTGGTACGTGCCATGGAGGGTGCTGATCAGCAGCGTTATCTGTTCCACGACAGCCAGGTCCTTCTGCAGGTCTTGCAGCTCCTGGAACAGACGAGGTGGGCCCAAAAAGACCTTATCTGGCAAGCGAGCGAAAGGACACTCATCAGCGGGCTCTGACCCTCGCTGGAGACAAGGCAGGCACTGGGGGTGGCGAGGGGGGCTCTCCATGCCCTGCAGCCCAGCTGCGCCCCTGCCCCACCCTCTTCCCCGGCACAAAATTGTGCACCGCACTCCAAATACACACAGCCATGGCCCCCTCTCCCGTCTGACTCGTGGGGTGAATGTCAGCAGGGACGGGGGCCCAGGGGGAGGCCACTGGGGCAGGAGAGGGAGACTTCGGTGAGGGAGGCCGCCGATGCCCGCGTGGGGGGGCGCTTCTGATCCACGGCAGCTCTTGCTCTGAGAGGTTCAGGGGCTGCCCGTGCTGCTCCGGAGCAGGAGGCCTCGTCCAGGGAGGGCCTTCAGCACCACGGACAGCAGCTGCGGGTCTTAGAATGGGGGCTGCCGTCCGGGCTTCCACTGACACCCGGGGCGTCCCCGGTGCGGGAGCCCCGATTTCTGCAAAAGCACCAACATTCCCCACCTTGGCTGGGGAACTGGAAACTGCAGGGTTCTTTCTGTCTAGACATATGTGGGGTTGCACCCAAAGTGACCTGAAGCGGGCCCAGTAACGACGATAATGGTGTGCGCTTGATTACAATGCAGCACACGTACCCCAAACCCAAGGTGGATTACATCATTCTCTTCCACTCCATTTTCACCCTCATGACCCCCCGTGAGGTGGGTCGGGCCGAGGGTGACTGGGCCAAAGTCACCCAGTGACCTCGTGGCTGACTGGGGACTATTTATTTCCATAAATTGATAGGCTGCCTTCCTAGGCGGCTTGCAATGCAAAACACACTAACAGAGTAAAAACACATTAAAAACCAATTAGAACATAATGATTCAAACATCTATAACAACAATTGCAGGGGCCACAGCATACAGGCTAAATGCTCTTGAACCCGGGTCTCGCAGGCACCCAGCCTGACTCGTCTCACCGCATGGGAACCGTTAATCTGGTGCAAGGAAGCAGCGTCCCGAGAAATGGGCGGTGCATCTTGGCGCTCGCGGAGGGCTGCTCCCGAGAGACCCAGCCGTTCCCTCGCTCCGACACCCGCCCTCAGCCTCCCCGCCATGCCCACGCACCCCTTGCTTGGAGCAAGGGGGCAGCCCAAAGAGGAGGGGTCACGCACTGTGTGTGGCCTGGCTGCTCGGCGCGTGCTTCCGCGACCCGATGTTCTGGGTGACGGCGACGTCCTTGTCGTGGGCGCTGCTCTCCTGCCCAACCTCCACCACCTGGACCTGTGGGAGGGCCGCGTTCCACTTCACGATGTACTTGGGCCCCAGTGGGACGAGGCTGCTGATTTCGAGCTGCCCCCTGCAAGGGAAAAGCCCTGCCTTGAGCAAATCAGGGAGCGGGACAGCCGCCTGCGCTCCAGATGCCACAGGACAGGCCTCCACCGCATCGGGACAGAGCCACACCAACACCAAAGCTGCCACCCACTCATGCATGCGAGATTTTCCCACGGGGACCCCAAAACTGCAAAGCAGGGCTGCTGAACCCCTCTCAGCCCCGGAGCCACACTGCACCCCAGAGATGTCCAGTGGCAGATCGAGTGGGGTCAAAGTACCCCCCTGTTTAAGCCACAAGAAATTCCTGCCAGTGGCATTTCGAGCGCTGAGAAGGGGGAAGCGGCACAGAAGCTGAAAAAGCACCAGACTGTGTGGGGGGGGAGAGTTCGGCTGCAGGGAAGGGGCATTCCTCGTTAAGGATCGCCGAGGAGCCACACCGGGACAAAAGGAGGTCAGACAGGGGGCTCTGTGACCCCGACACGGCTGGGGAGCCTCGACCACGGCAGTCTTTCCCCGGAGCTATCCGTGGTGCTGAACTCATGGCCTAGCGTGGGCTCCCCTCCGTGCAGCACCACGGAGAGCGCCCCCAAAGTGCCACACAGACGTGCGACGAGTCCCACTGGTACAGAGGTGGCCACCCCCTTCCTGCAGGGAGCCTCTGTCCCCGAGCCCGAGCTGCTGTGCCCCGCTTTAGCCAATGAAGCTCAGCGGGCCTGGCCGGCGCTCTGAATGAGGCGAAGGCACACGGACCAGTTCTCAAATCCTCCCTCGCACAGTTTGGGGGTCCCGTGGCAGATGCTCCGTGGCAGTTAGGCTCACGCAAAGGGGGTCTGGGAGCTCGCATGCCTGGGATCCTTCAGCAGCCACCAGCACCCCGAGATGCTTCCCCGGCACTGCCACACTCCCGCGAGCACCACGGAAGCTGCATGCTGAAGCGTGCCACGAGAACGCAGGTGCCCAAGTGGCCCGATCCCATCACGGCCCGCTGCCGTCATGCCGAGCCGTCCCCCGCCACCTGCACACTCGGACGGGACGGGAAGGCAAGCCGCAAGCCACACCCCACACGCCCTCGGCCTACCTGGTATTAATCGGCCTGCAAGAGAGAAATGTTAAAGCGGGTCAGTCTTGAATTTGCGCAGCCTCCGGGCGGCCGGGTGTGGCTCATTTATTTATCAGACCTCAGTCCCACCATTTCTCCTGCAAGGAGGCCGAGGCAGCTGACACGAGCGCCCTCCTGTGCATGTTATTCTTGTGACAACCCTGCGAGGTCAGCCAGGCCAAGAGGCAGCGACTGGCCCGGGATCAGCCAAGGGGCGCCATGGCCAGGGAAGGACCCGAATCAGGACTCCCAAGCACCAGCCCCAAACTCTAACCACTGAGCTGCAGCGCTTGTCCATGAGGTGCCACGTAATGCGCCCTGGCCACGGGGATGGCAGGACATGATCTCCAAAGAACAGCTCTCAGGGCTGCCCTGTGCAGCTCGAAAAAGGGCAGGAAGGAACGCAAGGGTTTGAATTCTGGGCATGTTTAGACTGGGAAAAAACATCCTGCAGAGGTTCCAGTGTTCCCGAGCCACGCAGGACTTTTCTGTCTCAATATGCATATGCCTGCACCCTAAAAGGGACACTATGCAAAAGTTTGCCCCTAAAATGCTCCAGGGGCTGGGGGGGACTTCCCTCTCAGGAACAGGCACATTTGGGGACTGCTTACGAAGTGGGGAGGAGGAGACATCACAGGGGTGCAAAAAGGGCACATCTTTCCCCCCGTTCTTCTCCTAGGACCCCGCGGGGGGGGGGGCATCCTGCAGGGCTGAAGAATGAGAGACTCGGGCCAGACCGAAGGGAAGACTTGTTCACACAGCGCAGAGTTAAACTACGGACTCCACTGCCACAAGACGCTGTGCTTCCCACCCCGCCTCACACAGAAGCATCCCTGAGCTCCAAAGACGATTTCACGCGTCTTCTGGCAAGGCGCTATCTAAATAACTTCCGCTACGATTTCCTGGGGAAAACACATTTCTAGGTGCCGAATCTGGCGGCGAAGCAGCTGGGGCGTGCCGGAGCGGCACGTTCTGCCCGTGCGGCGCGAGGGCCGGCCGCATTTTCCCCGTTTCCGTGACTGCTCCTCTGAGCACGGGGTGAGCCCTCCTCCCGCCTGCCCCCGCCTCGGACACACACGCACAAGGATCCGGGACACCCACTTGAAATTGATATTGCTGCACACCAGCATGTCGTTCAGCAGGAACACCTTCCGCTCCTTCGACTTGATGAGTTGACCCCGGTCACCGTAAACAGTCTCCGTCAGGGTCTCGCAAAGTAAAAGCTGTCGCTGACCTGAATTTAATAACTGCAGAAAGACGTGGGTGGCGAGGGGAGAGGGAGGGAGAGAAAAGGGAGAGATGCAGCCAAGGACGTGGAACCATGATCTACAGGGTGGGGCTGGCAGGAAAACGAAAACCCCAGTCGCCCCCCCCCCCCCCACGCACACAACTAGTTTCAGCCCCCGAACTTCAGTGAGAGATTTGTTTCCACTCGCATTGCGAGCCAGGGGGTCCCATCAGCAAGAATACAAACATCTGCGGGCCGCTTTTGAATTGCAAAGGGCGAAAAACAAAGAAGATCAGAGTTCAGAGGGGGAAAAGAAGACTGTTGGGAAGGAAGCAAACAGGGAAATGCAGAGTGCGGAAGAAAGGAATGGAAGGAAACGATCACAGACAAGGGGATCCCACGCTCAAGGCGAGTTGTCCTATAGCAGGGCTGAAGAGCAGCTGGGCATGGATTGCGTGTGTCCCCCAGGGCTTTTTGCACCCCTCCCCCCCCCCAGTGGCAAAGGAGGACGAAGAGCATTTGGATCCAGAAATATGGTTATTGCCACGGTAACCTTTCCCTGCTGCCCGGACAAGGCGGCCTTTTACCTCCCAGGCATTAAAAAGAAGCGAGAACGACTCCCGAAGGCAGGAGGGCCCAGCGGAGGATGTTGGTCCTCTCCCCTTCTGCATGCGCACTTCCAAAAGTGTGCTCCGCTGCATGTCCACAGTCAGCTGAGCATTTTTCGACACCTCCCTCGAAGCATCCATTTTTTAAAAAGCATTCCGCATTTTGCTTTCGGGTTGAGAGAACACTCAGGAGGAGGGAGGACCAGTCTCTCTCAGAGTCCAATCTGCGCATTGATCAAGACCAGGGGCTGAGCCCCTCTGGCTCTCCCAGGGGCCAGATCCGTCTCACTGAGGGTCCCCCAGGCCCTGCCCTCTTTCTCCAAGCCCCGAGCATTAGGGGCTTCCTGGCTTTAGTGCAACCTGTCCCCCATTCACAAGGCTGAAATGCATCTCCTCAGGCTGCGTTACCGGCAGCAAGAGCTTCGAGCTGCAACAGGCTGATATTCTGGGCACCCCAGGTTTGCCTTCAGTCCTGCCTGGACCTGGAATGCAGCCCCCAAAGCTTGTTCGGGACGGAATCTGATCCTGGGACTTAAAGCGGTTTGACACCCCTGGTCGAGCTGACCGTGCGGGCTGGTGGCTCCCACATCGGTAGGGCTGAATACTCCAATACTTTCAAGTTTTTCTCCAAACTTTTCAAGAGCTGCCCACGGTTTAAAGATAGCACTCGGCACTGGACCGAGTTACTTCACACTGGAGTTCACACACAGTCCATTTCCTCAAGCTGCCTGGTTCCTTACATCTGAATGGGACAAGACAAGAGCTCTGGCTGCTCAGAGCCAGGAGGGGAAAGAATCGGGGAAGCCCATTGCAAAACTGCCAGTCACTAAAAAGCACGTGTCCTGCTCTGATTCATTTCAGAACTAAAGAAAGGAAACAAACTTTTATCACTCAGCCAGACGTTGCTGAAGAGGCCAAAACGCAGCACTACGTCAGCCTGGGTCTGACTTAGGCAAGAGAGGAGCAGCGACCGAGTTCACTAAATTTGCCCCAGCCGCTCCAGAGCTTGCTGGGCTGGCTTCCGTCTTTGCTTCCAGCCTGCTCTTTGGCTCATTCACACAGGTGAAATACGCCTTTCTACGGTTATTTTTTAAAAGTGCACACTTATCCCCCAGATGCAGATTTTTAATGTTTATTCCAGAGTGCACCTCTTAAAAAAAAAAAAAAAATCAAATGTCATCTCAAGTCAAGGCCTTTGCAGACATTTCTTGAAAAAAAGTGCTCCTTCACATTTGTGAATGGGAAACGTGTGCTTGATTTGTGAAAAGAGACCACGTTCCTGCACGTTATATCTTTACACACTCGTGCAGCCCCAGTGCCACTAAAAAGCAGAAGCACACAACACATTTCGTTGTGATCAGCCAACTGCCACGTAGAGAGCTGGCCAAGGCCAGTGTGGCTGGCATGTCAGACCACGGCTGGAGCTCTTGCGAGAGCATGCGAAGGGGAGAGACGTTCCCAAAGTGCTTGAATCCCTCGGGAATTTCTCCTTCCAACAGCAGGAGAAGCAGTTCCTTGCAAAACCAGCAAACCAGCTCCACTAAGAGCAAAGCTTTTCTAGAGCTAACGGCCCTTACTGCTCATCCGAGACCCCCCCAAAATAAAACAGGGCTAGTGGGGAACAACGTATTTTGACCGGGAAATCTATTTCCCCACGTGGCATCAGGGCTGCAGCACAGCTCAGAGGAAATCGAAGCTGGGGCGAGACGGCGATGGCGTCAACCTCCCGGCTAGCAGAAGAGTCCCGGAGCCAAGCCCCCGAGAGCCCCGGCCGGTCCCACGGCGCACGGATGGCCCCGCACGTCCGTCAGGAAGAAGGGCCGGGGGGCCGGGCTCTGCCTCCCCCCCGTACCTTGTTGAGGCTGCTGCGGTCGCTGACGCTCTTGGTCAGCTGCTGGATCTCCACCAGCTGGTCCGCCAGCCGCTTCTGCTCGTTCAGCCTCTCCGCCAAGGTCTCCAGCTCGGTCAGGGCGAGCTGGAGGGACAGCCGGTCCGCGTGGCCCTTGGGCGTGTTCTTCAGCATGTCCTGGGGACGGAAGGGAGCCGCCACTGAGCGCGCCCTCCCCGTCAGGACGCGGTGGCCGGGAGCCCCCCACAGGCCCGTTCCGCCCACCCGTGTTCTCAGCCCCATGGCTGAGTGGGAGCTGGAACCTACATTTCCCGAGCTCTGCCCTGCGCTCTAACCACCACACCCTGTGGCTTTCCCAGGATGCACTTCACCCCCAAATTCCATATATTATAAATGCTGTGGAAATTTGTACATGTCTTTGTGTGCAATTTCCCAAGGCATGAGTTTGTGTGTGCACGTTCTGCCATTTTCCTAACACAATGCATTTCAGGACTGTTTTAAACTAATGTATACATGTTCACATACACTTTACCCCACAGAATAATTTGCACCTACAAGACTCTGCTGGAAATTCAGAGCAGTGCAATATCTAACTTTTGGCTCGCACATTGGCTCCACATTGAAAAATTAGATGCATCCACATTAAAAGGGGTGCCAACGAAATACCTCCCTACTTTGCCCAAAGCCAGGCCTTCTGCTCTGCCCCGGCTCCCGTGCATCCTTCTTGGTTTGGCTTCCACAGCAACATGATGGTTTGCAGAAAAAGCACAAAACGGGAAACGAAAGCAGTACCTGCAGGAGGAGGATAAACTGAGGGAACCTCTGGATGGGTTTCACCATCAGCCCGTAGAGGGTCACTCGGTCCACGCTGGCCATCTGCCGCTTCTGAGGGAAGGGGAATCGCAGGGTGAGGCTCTCCATCCTCCTCCGCCGGCAGGCCTGCCCATCATCAGCCCGGCAGCCTTGACGCGAACCCGGTAAGAAGGCAAAGCGCGGGACGCCCGCAAGCGAGGCGTGGGTGCCACTGCAGCTCCTGCCCATGCTCCCCAGCTGCTGGTGCGCCTCAGCACGCTGCCCCCAAAACCGGAGAAAGCAGAGTGCCCGCAGACACGGAGCCGTCCTCCCACTCCAGGAGGGGCCTGGTCGCCCTCCCAAGCCATCCAAAGCAGCGGCAGAGGTCGGCCCGGCCCTCCCGGGATGCATCCAAGGGCTCCCTCTGAGCGCTGCAGCGCTCCCTCCCCGAAGCACCCACATTCTCAAAGGAGCGGGGAGCCGCCGCCGAGGTGCCCCAGGCCGGCCTGCGCCCACGGCACCCCGCCGCTCGTCACCTACCTTGAGGAACTCCAGGAAGGCGGGCTTGGTGAGGCAGGCCTTCTTGATCAGGGCCATGGCGCTGGTGAAGTTGTTGACATACTCACTGTACACGTCCAGCACCATCGACTTGGAAAACTGCGGGGAGGGAAGGCGGAGAGGGACGGTTGCTCCCCCACGTTCGGGAGCAAGGCACTTCCACAACTTCCCAGGGCCGACCGACGCAGCTCACGAGAGATCTCGTATAACGACTACAGCAGCCAAACAACCCTGCACAGGAAGCACTGAAAAGCCCAGGATCCATCCAAAGCCTTGTCCAAAGCTGGCAAGTGCCCGGGAGAAGCGGAAGGCCATAACCCAACGCATAACAAAATGACAGCGTTGGCACCCAACAGGCCCTACAAGGGAGATTAATTCCAGGACTGGCGGGCTACCCCTGAAAAGGCCCTGTCCCTTTTGCCATGCTGCGCAACTCCCTTGGAGGAGGGTCTTGATGAAGACGGGGGGGTGTGGATCGGTCCTCCCTGCGAGGGACACTCGGATGCACTTGGGGCCAAGCGACCTCCCGCCCTTGTTTATGATCAGCACCTTTTGGCCAAAGGCACAGGAAGTCCTGGCCGCTTGGCTGCATTCCAGATACACCTGGCGTACACTCTGTCGTGAAAGGGTTGTGTAAACATTCAACTCTCCACAGAGCAATAAAACTAAAGTCCTTTAATGTTAATTGTCTGCAAGATTTACGATACTATAGATAAGTTCCCTGATAGCGGTCCCTGCTAAGCAGGTGTCAGCCCTGTAATGGCCTCTCTTTCTGAGCCCATGTGGGATCATTCTCCCAGGTCACGCCTTTCTTCTCGCTTATGCTGCCTGCTCCGCATTTGTTCAAATCTGCGTAAAAGGCGTCTGTTTTCAGCTTTTGAGAAATCTATGACACCTATAGTGCCTTCTGTTTCTGGCTCGGGGAGATCAGCGTCAGGAGGGGAGGAGGCCGTTTGCTCTGCCTCTTTCTCATGACTCTCTGTCTCTGATAAAGGTCCAGGCGTTTGCTCAATGAGCTGGGGCTCCGGGGAAGACGCAATAGCTGGTTCAGCTGCTCCTGCATTGGGTTGTGGGGGCGACTCTGGGGTGCAGGGTGCCAAGTGCAAGGTCTCCTTGCGAGTCAGGGGCTTCATGCACGACACTCTCGTTTTTTCTTTCAGGAAGCTGGAAGTATCCAGATCGCTCTCTCTCTCTCTCTCTCTGCCTTCCTCAGCACTGGGGCTGGGACTGATGGGCCCTGAAGTCCAAGCCTCCCAAGGCCAGCCGGCAGCTGCATCCCGTGCGAGCCAGACTTGAGAAACGGGAAGCCCACCGCCTCCCCGCCGACAGCATGCAGCCCGCCCGCCCCTGTGCAGATGCCCACCGAAGCCACAAAGAGGTCACCGATCTTCTCCGCGGCGTCCCACTCCGCCACGCGCGAAGACAGGGCGATCTGGAACATGGAGTGGCACTGCAGGATCTCCTTGACCCGGAAGAACACGGCCTGGCACTTGCGCACGCTGAGGGCTTTGGGCTCCATCTCCATCAGAGGGTTTCTGTAATCCTTCGGCGTGGCATCAGGGGTGAGAGAGGCACAGCGGTTTAAACACACACACACACACACACACACACACACACACACACACACAAATACTGCCTCCCCCTTCCTCTGTCTGCTGTTGCCTCCGCCGGATTACAAAGCGGAGGTTTGCCAGCCTGCAAAACCGTTTAAACCGAATTCAAAAGACAAGGAATTCGGAGAAGATGATTAACAAGTGCTGGGACACCCCATTTCCCATGCAGCTGAGGACCCCCCCCAACCACTCGGGGCCGAAAGTGCAGGAGGAGGTGGGCTTGATGGATGGACTCAAGGCGCCGTCCCAGGCGAGGGTGGGGAAAGCAAGGCCTGCACCCCGAACACTCCCAGCCCCAGAAAAGAAAGCCTACAACTGCCAGCCTGGCTGGGCATCCTGGGAGCCGCAGGCCTCACTTCTGGGTAAGCATGAACCGGTGGCGGGCCGCATCACCCTCCGTGCCCTGCGAGGCGGGCCAAGCAGCCGCTCGCCACCACCGCTCGCGCCAGGAACTCCGTCTCTTACGTACCTGCTATGCCGAGCGGCCCTTCCTCCCTCGACTCGGGTTCTAGCCCCACCACATCTTCCGCAATGACGGCCCTTAGCCCCCTCTCCCCTGGGCCCTCTCCCCGGTTCGGCTTCCCAGGGCTGCGCCACCCCCTGAGCGGAAGGGCACGGGAAGCGGCCTCCCTGGCCGGGAGCAGGTGAGCCGGCCTCGTCCCCAGAAGCCCCCTCACCTGCAAGATCCGCCGCAAGGAGTCCACGTAGCCTCTCTCGCTCTGCACGATGGAGCCCAGGATGTGGCGCCGGACGACCTACACGAGGGAGGCAGAGGAGGAGGGGGCAGCAAAATTCAGCAGAGACTATCGGGGGGGGGGGGCAGGGGATGGTCCTGGGAACAAGGGGATGAAAAAGCTGCCCACCCCACCTCTCCAAGATCAAGCTTAAGGTGTTTGGGACTGCAGCTCCCAGAATCCCCGACCAGTGGCCACATGCACAGGGGTGGATGGGAACGGAAACTCCCGTACAGGGGGATGCCAGGGAGGGGCAATGGCTCCCCCCAGTACCGCAGGAAGCGAAGGTTCCACGGGCAGCCAGGTGAGCCACGAGGCAGGTGAACAGTCAAACGAACTGTGCCAAGGTCCCACGGGCCCCCCGTGCGAGCAGGAGCACGCTGCTCAGGACATCTTTGCCATTCCCCAATCTGCGTTCGATTTCAAATGTACAACAGGGGGCTGCCCTTCCAGCAATGCATGGGACAACTGGATGGTGTAGGATGGGATAAAAATATTCCCAATTTTAAAGAAATATTCCAAATAAATAAATGTGTGCACTGACCCTCCCCAAATTTGCATTTCCACTCTGTAGTCCCCGAGGAGTTAGAGGACATGGAACCTTAGCTTCCTGCTGTACTGGAGAAGATAGGTTAAGCCATCTATCCCTACCTGTTTCAGTTCCCATCAGCCCCATCCATATGGCCAGTGGGCAGGGATTCTGGGAGCTGCAGTGCCCAACACGTAAGCTAAATCTTGGAGCTCTGTCCTTCCTCCCCACCCGAGTCAACAAAGCTCCCCTGTTGCTACCACAAGACAGTTTTAGAACAGGATGCCCTCTCTCTTTCACGCTCCGTCTTCCAGCAGCATGAAGGAGAGAGAGAGAACAGAAGTCAGCATTGTCCAGTGACGTGAAACACAAGAGACACCAAAAATAGAGGTGGCCAGGCCTTTCTGCCCAGGTCGCCACCGTTTCCGAGCACACGGGCTTTCTGCAGAACACGGAACCGCGGCTCCCGTGAGCCAAATGTGCTCTACACCATGCTGGACCTCACCCAGCGTAAGCACAGCCGAGCCCGAATTCCTCCGCAGGGGGATTCTGCGCACTCGGGGGCCAAACAATACCGGGCGCCAGCACCACCGAGTTCGGGAGACGAACCTCGGCTGGCTTAAGGCCGGCTCCTCCAGCTAGCCCATGGCTGCAGCTCACGAGAACCCCCGTGCCAACCGTGTTCGTTCGCATGTTCATCTCTTTATTTAAAGTTCTGCGGGATGGGCATCTTCTTCCAGCCCAAGGGCCAAGTTCCATTCCAGAGAAGCGATCAACAGCCACGGCCCAGGTGTGACAAGACAGGCAGAGGAATGTGGTGGGGCAGGAGTTTTTTTAATGCCGAAAGCTCTTGCTGCCCGTGACAAAGTTTTAGGAGGGGAATGTTAGCCTTCCAGAGTGGCACAAGTGCCAGGGCAGGTGGCTACGAGAAAGCACATCAAAGGGGCAAAGGGGGAATTTTGGAGGGGTGCTTTGGCCCCAGCCGAGCAGCCCGGGGGTGGCCCGCCCCCTCTCTGGAAGCTCCCCAAAACTTCAGGGGGGCTCCCAGCCATGTCCCAACAACACGAACCTGCTGCGGAGTCAGTCCTTCAGGCATCGGCCCCAGCTCGGGGAGCGGCTGCTTCATGTCCGTCACCGGGACCTCCAGGAACCCCATGTCCTCCTCTTCAGAATCACCTGGGGAACAGCCGAGGTAAAGCGGGCACTGGCGACCCCAGCAAGGCCCCCTGACCGGGGAGCCACCCCGCCAGGCCACCTGGGCACGGCAGCAGGGCGCACACAAACACACTCGGTGCCACAGCGGCTTTCACAGGCACACACCACCAACACGCCGCAGCATGCCAAGTTCCAGAGGGCCAAGCTACCGGCACGCGTGCGCTCTCCAAACTGCGGCCACCGCAGCCAGAACTCCACTTCAAGCAAGGAATTATAAAGCCTCTAATGCTCATCGAGACATTATGCCAGCTTTTTGTTAAAAAAAAAGTTCAGTCTTCATGGAGATAGCAAGCCCCCTGAAAATCAAAGGTCCCCAGTCCTTGCAGAAACAGACTGAGCCCTTTTAAAGAGGTTCTAAACAGAGCATCTCCCTTTTAAGTTTCTAGTTCTTATGGATGTATACAAAAGACCCAGGAATGAGCCTATATCCTAGAACTGGGCACCACCTTCACACCCTCCTCTAGCCAAGGACTGAACATCTCGAACAGGGATGTGACGATCCAGCCAGAGCCCAGCTCTCCTGGGCTCACCCATCTTCCTTCCCGTGCCCAGCCTTGGCCGAGTCGAGATCAAGTCCAAGGCAAAGCCCTCCTTTGCACACAGCATGCCAAGCTCCCGGGTCATATGTGCGGAAGCAGAATTCCCCTGGCACAGTCCCCTCGCAGGCTGCCCGTGTGGGCTCTCTTGGACTCACTTCCTGCCAGCCCCCCATGCGAAGGCTTGGTGCAGGTGGGCTTCGGAGGCGGGAAACGAGGAAGGTGCGAGCCAGGAAGCAGGAGGAGCAGATGCCGGCGGCCCGAGTGCAGAACGTCTGTCCCCTCAAGGGCCGGCCACATCCCTTTCGAAGGCACTCTCGGGGCCTCGGTCCATCCGGGGGGGCCCAAGGCTTTAAGAGTGCCAAGCCAGAAGTGCCGGTGTATCGTAAGGCCAGCCCTGCCGTTAGCCGCTCCTGGGGCGAGGCATGTCAACTTGTTGGAATCCGGAGGGGCGTTCAGAACCCCTGGCCTCAAAGATGGCCAAGGAGAAGAGGAGGGAGGGAGCAGCCAGTCAGATGAGAACGCAAAAAGCCACAGGACGCACAAAGCTACAGAAGGCAGAAGTGGAAGAGAAAGGAGGCAGAGGGAAAGTCCGTGGAGAAAAAGGTTCCGGAGGAGGAGGACAAGTTCAACAAGGAATCAAAAGCAAGCGGTAAAGAAAGCATGAGGATTTGGGGTGAGGGAGAGCAAGGTCAGTGCCAAATCTCATATGTCAAGACAAGGAAGAGCCAGCCAGCCTGCCTGCCTGCCCGCCCACCTGCCAGAGCTCTGGGTTTGCTTGTTTTTCAGAATTGCCTTCGCCCCCCTGCAATTGTGGGCCAGTGACTCAGCAACTCAGACTATTAAGCATACACAGAGCAGGTCCAAGAAAGCAACATTCCCACAGAATTATCATTAACAAAACGCTTTCCGGACCTGGCCAAAGACAGCAGCGAGAGTGCCACCCCATAACCCCAGCCATCCCTCTGTCGCAGCCGCATCATAGCCGCCTCGGCACGTCACAGCCTGCAACGGGAGATTGCCCCCAGATAAAATTCCTCAGCGATACCATCATGACCCCTCTGTGCCGAGCTTTTCCAGAGAAGCGGCTTCGGCCTGCCCGGGGCCAGACCGCCTGGCCCAGGCGGCCCTTCTCCGGCTCAGCCCATCACGAGGCCGCTGATCCACCCTGGCTCCAGCCTCACATCCTTTCTAATGCCAGAGCTCGGGAGCCACCGATCCACCCACGCCCCCCACACGGCTGCCCCGCCTGTCCCTTGCTGCAGAGCCCCTGCAACCCGGCCCTGTCCTTGCCTCTGGGACCTTGCTCGGGGGCAGAGCTTGGGGGGGGGGGGCGCAAGCCGGGCCAGCCAGCTGTGCGGAGGGAGGTGAGGAGGGGAAGCCAGCTGCGCCCCCAGGCCGCTGAAAGGCCTCTTCAGAGCGCCCCCCACCCTCCCCGTCCCTGCTCCCGTGCGTGCCACGTCTTTCTGGATGGTACGCCCAGAGGCAGAATCAGCAGGGATTGATTTATTGTGCGCCCAGTGCTCTGGGGGGCCTTTTTGGCTGAGAAACACCAGAAAAAAGTTTTAAATAATGAAAACGCTTTTAAAACGCCTGGGTACAAAACATGCGGCACGGCATGTGCTTTGCACACGCGCAGCCGTGCCAGATGGGACCCGGAGGCAAGACCCCTTCTGAGCAAGCCGGGGGCGAACGGCCAAGGCCCACGAGGTTCAGCGCAGGGACCTGTGTGCTCCGGCGGCTGTCAGCTCAGGAGAGCACAACGCGCTCCGCAAGGCATCACCCCTGGAGATGGCTCGGAAACCGCACCGGGTGCGCAAGGGACCAGATGGTCTGAGCCTGCGCACTGATCTGGCCTGCTCACACCAGCTGCCCGCACATCCCTAGGCAGAGTCTAGCTGTGGGTCTGACCCAACAAAGCCTCACGCGACACAAGACCTCGCCCAGCGCAGGTCCCGGCACGAGCGGTGAGCCTCTGGGGCTCCTCCGAAGGACTCATGCGGGGGGGGGGCTCTTGGTGGCCCCCCAGATCTGGAGCAGTGGAGAACACGGGCTAACAGAGCTTCAGAACTGAAGCTCTGGCCCATCGCCCGATTTCCACAGCAGCTAATTCGACGCCGAACTGAAGGGCACAAGCCGCTTTCGGTCTCCCTGGCACGGGGGTGCGCACACCGGACCGGTGTCGCCGTTTGCCAGGCAGGCCGGCCCGCTCGGCCCTCTGCACTGCTTGCCAGTGTCCCCAGCCTTCCAGAACAGTCCTGTCCAATGCCCCTCCATCCTTCGCCTCGTCGATGCACGGTGCTGGAGAGGAGCCAGCGCCCTCCCCAGCCGGCGTCCCCCAGGCGCCCTCCCCGCCCCGAAAGCTCCCGAGACGGGGAGACCCTTCCCTGGCAAAGCACGCAGAGGACCGGCCAGCCTTCCAGAGAACAGGAAGAGCAGGGAGACCCAGCGAGCCACTCCTCCGTGGGGCGGGCGGGCGGGCGAGCTCAAAAGACAGCCATCCCGGGCCGGGGGGGGCTCTCTCCTGCCCCACGGCCAGTCCCTGCTGAGCCATCCCCAAGGGGAACCCCTGGGGGCCTGGCCTGGGTGCTGCGGAGGCCACATTCGCTGAGAAGAGACCGCGCGGTTCCGGGAGGGAGCCAGGCTCTGCACTCGCTGAAGAGGAAAAGCAGGAAGGCGCACGGAGACACACAGCAGCACCCTGGGCAGGCGAGGGCAGAGCGCGGGCAGGTGCACGGGGGGGCCTACCTGAGACGGAGGAGGAGGAGGAGGAGGAGGAGGAGCGCACTGTCACATAATCCCTGTTGGCCTTGTGCCGCTTCCGCCACATCGTAACCCCGGGCCGTCTCTCCCCCAGCCCCTCTGGGGACGGCGGGAGGGGAGCAGCGCTGTGTGAGCAACCCGGGAAGGGTGGGGATCCGCGTGTGACGAGAATAGCCTGGCGAGGGTGACCTTTTCCTTCCCTAATTTTGGAACAGCTGCTTGACTCACTCGGAGCAGCTTTCATCCGGGGAGGAGAAACCAAAACAGAATCGGTGCGAGGGACTCAGCCGAGAGAGGCAAAACAGGGCGGGCTGCAGCCCGGTGGTAAGCCCCTTGCTTGGCACCCAGGCGGCCCCGGGCCCAGCATCCCCAGTCAAGACCACTCCGGGGGGGGGGGTTCCCTCTAAACCACAAGGGATGCTGAAGAGGAAAGAGGAGCTCTGATCACGGACGGAGCGCCAGCAGTGGGGCCCCATGCGGGACTCCCTGCCCTCCCAACCAACAAGGTCCCCCTTCGGCCGGCTGGACAAAGAGGACAGTGCTCTGGAGCATGTGCCAAGCGCATGGATTCAGGCTGGCCGAGTTCCTAGCGTCACTCTAGGTAGCAGAAGCCGCTTCTCACAGACACTCCACAGCAAGCCATGCGACTCCAACTCAGTCTAACGTGTGGAGACAGGATCCAGGCCGGCCCGAGCCGGCCTAGATCCGTACCTCTCTCTGCACACAGCCCGTGGGCCTTGGAGAGCTCCCCAGTCCAGGACAGCGAGCTCTTCCGTCCGACCTCCGGCGCGCCCCCGCCTGCCTCTCCGTCCCCTACAAGAGGCGACGCGTTAGAAGAAAGAGGCCGCTGCGCTCCAGCCGCCTGCGCTTTCTCTGCAGACAAGCATCCCCAGAACAGCGGGGTGCTAGCCAGGAACCCCCAAACCAGGTTTGCCCCCCAAAAGGCAAAGCCAGCCCTCCCTTCCCAATCCAGAGGGTATGGCTTCAACTAGCACCCTCCAGACGTGGGGACTACAACTCCTAGCAGCTGGCTGGGGCTGACTGGAGCTGTAGTCCAGACCACCTGGAGGAGGCAGGTTGCCTAACCGAGTGCTAGGTGAGGACACGGCACTGACTCTTCCTGCAGTGCGACTGTCGCTTAAATAACACCATAACTGTACTGACGGCCAGTATGGGCAGTGGTTAGAGCATCAGCCTGGGACCCAGAACACGGGATTCCAGCCCTCGCTCCGTCATGGACTCTCGGTCTCAGCTACCTCACAGAGCTGTCGTGAGGACAAAGGGAAGAGGAGGACAACCAGGAAAGCTGCCTTGGCTTCTTTGCCATAGCAACCAATTTCATAAACATCCCATGTAAGATCACCTAAGATCGATTCAGAAAAGCTATCTAAGAAACTTGAAAATAACCCTCTTTGAAGGAAATCAGGAGGGCAGCTACTCAGAGAAGGGCCTTTTCAGCGGTGGCTCCCCGACTGTGGAACACGCTCCCAGGGAGGTCCGCCTGGTGCCATCACTCTATTCTCTTCGGCATCAAGCAAATACCTTTTTATTCTCCAGGTATTTTCACAATCTGATTGGTTTATCCTTGTTTTTACTACTATTTTAGGTGCTGTGTGCTGTGTGTTGGTGTTATGGCTTCGTTCTTGGTTTTCTGTTCCTTAGAAAAAGTTTAAATGAATAAATAAGCCCAGTTTGTTTCCGCTCCGTTTCCCCTATCTAAGCACATTTCGTGGCCACTCCGGTGTCGTTTTGCAATCTGTGCGGAAGTGGTCTGTGTGGTCAGGAAAGCTTTGCTGATACTCACTGAGTGGCAAATGAGAACAGGGCTTTCCGACTCTCTGCGTGTGTCTGTGTGTTGGGCCGGGGCAGGCGGGGGGCGGGGCGGTGGAGAGAAAGAGAGGACAACGAGGAGGCGCGAGAGAGCTGCCTGTACTTTCCCATCTTAATTCTTGTAATCGTGATCATCCCGACGGGCGCACGCCCGCCTTTTCCGAAATCGAGAGGGATATGTCAACGCCAGCCAACCTTCCAAAGAGGCGTATGCACTTCGGCCCAGCGGAAAGCTCATGGCTCAAAGGCATGAAGCCCTTTTTAATGCAAAATCCACTAAAATGAGGGGACACGATAAAAATATGATCGAAGGAACACCGGAAAAGAGCGATCCCAGAGGTGCAATTGCACACTTTTAAGATCTCGGCTTAACGGTTTAGTGAGCGCCTCGCCCTCCACTGGACGTTGGCTGGGTAGGGTCGAGGCTGCTGTTTCCCTCTCATGTACAACTGAGGGCAGCAGCCCTGAGCATCTCCCTCTGCACTTTATCCCCCCCACAACCCCGGGAGGCTGCGGGTAATGATGAAATCGGGAGTCTTTCCTAGCAGGATGTCTTTCCACCCGTGTTAAATCCCAGTCGTGCTTCGGAGCACTTAAAGGCAGGCATGCCCATCTCTTCATACCAAGAGCCAGTCCCTCTGAGAACCTAGAACCAGTGCGCACATCTGCAGAATCCGTGTGTCAGAAGAAGCCGCCCCGTTGCGAAAGGACTGCTTTCCAGGGAGGCCTGCCTGGTGCCAGCCGAAAACCTCCTTATTTTCTCAGTTTCGTTTGCTGTTTACTTTGGCTTTTGCTTCTATTTTATGCTGTAGTTTTAAACATTCAAACTTTGATGGTGCATTTTCTGTTATCCTTTACAGTTTAAATGTTGTCAAATGACCAGAGAGATTCAGCTACTGAACAGCAGAAAATGAAATAAAACACACAGGTTGGATTCACAGCAGGCCAAACTCCCTGGGCTCCTTTGCAGGTTTCTGCAACGCCCCGACTGTGGGAGAAAGGAGGCAGGCTGGTGCCCAGAGCACATCGGAAGCGTTCTGTGCTCAGAGAAGGCTTCCTGATCTAGGCCAGCATCACCATTCTTCGGGAACACAATGCCAAAGGTTACCTGGGACTTCTTTCTTGTGCAAAAACGTCCTCATGACGGCTATCTTCGTTTTCTCCAAGCCATCCTTGGTCCCGCTCTTGGCTGCCTTCATCAGCTGCGTCATCTGTGTGGAATCAGGAAGCATCAGAGGAGGGGAGAGGAGAGAGATCAAAGGGGCCGTGCGCCCTGGCAAAAGTCTTGCCACCGTTGCACTAAGGGTACACGGTGGAGGAACTCATTCTGCTTTTAGGATAACCGCACCTAACTTTTACACTCAGAGAAAAGGATTTGGAGAACTCCAGTGCGGATCCATTCAGATAAAGCTGTGCAGAACTCAGATCCCATGCAGAAATCCCAATAAAAATAGCTACCCGGTCTCTTTATGCGGACTTATGATCTTCCGCAAAGATCAGTTTGATTTATGATGCTTAAAAACATACCCCACCATTCAATGGCCAAACAGTGTTCCCACGAAGACTTACAAAAGGAGGGAACGTTACGGAAGAGCCAACGAAACAACGGGCCAGGATAAAAACTCAGATCCATGAAAACCCCAAAGCCATTTAAGGTAATGCATTAAGACACAAAATGTTTGCTGTGTTAAAAGGCCTCTACATGGTGCCTAAATTGCCTCCTGGGGGGCACGACACACAGCCGGGTGCCACCACTAAGGAGGCCACTCCTGCTCGTCAGCACCCGGAAGAAAGCCCCACTTCTGTGAGGCGAAACACTTAGTCTTAAGCTTAGCTGACCAGCTGGTCAAATATAGTCAAGCATTTGCAAACCACTGACGTGATCGCAGAAGCTGTCAAAACCTCTTGGAGCCTGAGGGCTGAATTCTATTTCAGAAAAACTCTTGGGAGCCACATCCCAGGGATGGGAAAAGCTAATCACAAAGGGGGGGGGGGCAAAGCCCCTCCACTGATTTTAGCTCCTGCTGTCTGTAAGGAAGGCGCTCCCCTCCCCATTTTCCCACTTAATTCCTTCGCCCGTGTCTGTGCCTTCTCCCAGATCCTTCCATGGGGAACAGAACACGTTTTGGTCCAAGCTTGCTCCCGGGATTACACCACGCCCCCCCCACCCCGTGCCGAAGGAAGAAACGTAACAATTACAACTGCGGCAGCATGCAAGGTTGGAGTTATTCTACCATTATTTTTTAAAGTCCTTTAACTGCCCCAAAGCAGAGAGAACCAAGCAGCCAGTGAGAGAACAGAAGGACACAGAGAGCCGAGTTCGCAAGTGAAACGGAGAGCAAGAAGAGGTAAATGACCGAGGTCTGGGAGAGGAGGGGGACAGTACCTTACAATCGTATCTTTGCTTCAGCTCCTGCATCTCTCTCCCCCCGACTTTCAAAGCCAGAATGTCCCTCTTAGTCCTTGAGTACCTCTCCTTGAGCCTATGCAGGTCGGGAGAAAGCTTCCGCCCGCAAACCGGCAGCAGCACCGTGGGGGAGAGGGAGGGAGGAAAGAGGAGGAGGAGGAGGAGAGAGAGGCAGAGAGATCCAGGTAAGCAGCAGACAAGCCAAGCCAAGCCAAGCCAAGGCCCAGGCAGAGGTGTGCCACGAAGCGCCACGAAATGCCCCCGGGGTTAGCAGCAGTGTTGCGACAGCGGTTAGCCGGAAGCGCGCCTGCCGCAGGCTTCGCAGGGATCCCGGCGAGGGGAGATGCGGGCCTGCGACCCGGGGCTAGCGACTCCCCCACCTCCAGCGCCTAAGCGCAGAGGAGGAAAAGTGGGGGCAGAGATCCGCATTCGTTACACAATGGTACGAAAGGCCAAGGACTCCCCACAGACAACCCGCTTTCTCTTTCCTCTTCTCTCTCTCTTGCTGCTTTTGGCCCTCAAGAGTACAGAGAAGGTGGCCTCAACTTTTCGGGCTGGCGGGCATTTTTCAGATGTGCAGACTGTCATGGGTGCTTTCACAAGATGGCTGCCAGGTGGGCTTGGCCGTTTACATTTATATTGAAATATGATTTAAATTATGGCCATTATATCCACCTCTGCACCCCTCTATATCAGGGCCCCTGGGCTTTTGGGTTGGTGGACACATTCTGCAAGAGGGGCACGGGTGTAGTCCCGCAAGATGGCTGCCAGGGGCTGGGCTCTCCTGTCCATAAAACGGCTGTCACGGTGAGCAAGGGTGGCCACAAAACGCCCATTTCCCAGAAGGGAACCAGTGAGACTGGAAAGTAAAAGGCAGAGGGGAGAGCTGACCTCTGACCAAGCAAAAGCACACCCCTGAAACCAAGAAAGATGGTCCTGGAGGACAGAACCTCACTGTGACACCCAGTTTTTTTTAAGGGTAAAACTTCTGGGGAGGAAAAGAAAAGTCAGAAGAGACCATGAGCTTGCAGACTCGGGAAGAGGCATCCAAGGGGACGCCAGGCACCCCGGGGCAGAAGTGAAGTCAAGTTCTCCTCATCACCCCAAGACACAAGGGGGCCGGGGCAACATTTTGCCAGCAACGTTCCCTACCGACCAAGCTCCCCCCTCGAGACACGCAACACGCAGGTGTTGGCTGGAGCTGGACCTCTGCCTTGCGAGCTACCTTTGGCTGGAATGACACTTTCGGCTTCGCGGATTCCGTCCCCGGCTTGCTCTCTTCCCCGGAGTCCTCGCTGTAGCTCTCAAACTCGCTGGAGCTCCAGACTAGGTCCTCGGCCTCTGGCGGCTCTTTGTCACGATGGACATCTTCGTAAATCAGGCTCTGCTCCGAATCTGGAAGGAAGCAAGAGGCAAAAGATTGCTCCAGGGTGATACCGGCAAAGCCCAAACGCGGGAGGCGGCTGGAGTTCGGTACTCTATAGGAAAGCGTCCCAGGAAGTGAGGGGAACAGAAAACGTTCAGTACTGCATGTGATGAAAGACCGCAAAGAGATCGTAAGACGAGTCCTGAGGAGGAGGAGGAGGAGGAGGAGGAGGAGGAAGGACACACAGAATGAAGGAATCATGAGACAGAGCCAGGGAAGGAAAATGCAGAACACCTTTTCCCAATTAAAGCAGACTAAACCTCTCACGTTCCTTTAACCACCGCCAAGGTGGAACCAGCACAGATTCTGTTCCACAGAGTTGAGCTGGGAAGGTGGACGTACACATGAGCACCGCCAACCCGGCACTCTGCAGATGTGTAGGGTTGTGAACACCACTGTGCCCATGATGGGAGTTGCAATCCCATGCAGAACGAGTGTCCACTTCTTCCACACACCCGTCGGAACTCATTCCGGCCCTATGGCATGACTTTCTGCTTGCCAAGTTAGCCAACAAGAACGTTTTGGATCGAGGAATAGGAACGTGACAGTTGTGCAGAAAAGGGCGAATGCCAAAAGGAAGAATGATGGAGGGGGAAGGGGGGCTTCTCTGCACAGCTTAGGGTCAGAGGAGCCCAGAAAAAGGAGAGCGATGGCGCTCAACAAGCAAGTATGGACCGGATCACGGGAGAGGACGCCCAGGAGGTGAGCGAGGCGATCCGGGAGGGGCCGTACCACGCTGATTCAGTTCCACATTTTCGCAGGGGACCTCATCATAGATCACATCCTCTTCTGAAGCTGGGGCATTAAACTGGCCACCTGGAACAAGGGCGACACAAGCGGGACGGGCTGAGTTCAGGACCAGCGGGAGGAGACGGACGGACGGACGGACGGACGGCTGGGGAAGCAAGCGGAAGCGCAACGGCTCCACTTGAGCCGCGTCTTTAGCTGAAGGATCCAGAGCAGCAGCGTCCTTCCCCACAGACCCGGCCCCCACCGCCGGAGGGGTTTCGGCACCGTACCTCGCCGGAGACTCTTCCTTTTCCAGCTGTAGATCCGTGTCCCAGGCTGGGAGGGGCCCCCCACATCTCCATTGCTGACGACTCCCAGGAACCTGAAAGCAGGAGAGCAGCCATGAAAGCGCCAGTCCCTTGCGCAACACTGGAAGAGTGAAGGACCACCCACCGACGAACCGATCCTAAAAAAGATCCTGGACTGTGCAGAAATGGACAGACTGACTTTGTCATTGGAGGAGAAAGAAGATGCTGATTTCTATCAAACCTGGGATTCTTTTTATCATTGGCTAGAGAAACGGGACTTCGTATAGGTTTAAATCTGTTTCTAAGTTATCATAAATGGAAAAAAATGTGGGGGCTGACCCAGCAGGTCCGATGTTTCTGATGATTGATGTTGTTTTTAGTTTTTCTTTGTTTTAGGGTTATAATTTTGAATAAAACTTATTATAAAAAAGAAAAGCGCCAGTTCCTTGGCCAGCTTGTCCTCCCCCAAGTGCCCGCGCTGCCAGAAGCTTCAAAGACAAGCCAAAGAGTGCCCGCTGAGGCCCCTGGTTTTATTCCAGCCGTGCCTCGGCCCAGTCCTTGAGGGCCGGTCCCTTCCCGCATGAATCCACGCCAACCATCGTGGGCCAGCGTGAGAGCTGCGCCCCAAGGGGATGCGCCCCACCTTCCAGCACAGCGTCCTTTCCAAGCTCTTACAGAGACAACGGCAAAGCTTGCTGGCCAGTGGACAGATGCGCTCAGCAACCACAGGGGCCCGCCAGTCCCTTCGATTTGAACTGTGTGTAGTGAAATGGAAACACACCAAAGAGCCCACTAAATGGTCTTTCCACCTCAGTGTTGCCTGAGCAGCTGCAGCTCTCCCAATGTAGGGTCCTTTCCTCGCCTTTTCTCTTGAAAACAATGCAAGTTTCCAGTCCTCATGGCTCTGACTAAAACAGGAACCCACCTCTTACAAGTTCAGGCCCTTGGTTTATCTAGCTCAGTATCCTGGGAGTAGTGGAAGCCGGCTCTTCAGCCATTTTGGACTGTCACTTCCAGGCATCCTGGCTATGGTCGGGAGTATTGGGGGATGTTGGAGAAAACACCCGGAGGGCGTCATCTTGAAGGAGGCTGAACTAAATGAGTTGGCAGCAGTGGGGTTTCTGGAAAGAGTTTTTGCCCTTTCTTAGAGATGTTGCCAGGGATTGAACCCGGAAGCAAAGCAGGGCCTCTACCACTGTGGTACAGCTCTTCCCCATAAACCATTTAATTAAAATGCACGAGAGCAGACACACACACAGCCGTCTCTGCTCCAGCCTGCCATTACTTGCCAGACAGCAACACGGAGCCAGAGTACCCAGCGCTTGATTCTCTGCTTCTCTTGCTGTCCACTTGCTCCCAAACTTTCCCCACTCCAAAACCCCCAAAGCGGCTTATACACATCCCAAATCAAGAACACACAAAACATGACACAGCTGAAATTACAACAAACCTCACCGCAGTTGTAAAATCCTACATGTCAACAGCTACTGTTTTACACAGGCCCCTCACAACAGCTTCACAGGTGCCGAAAGCCCATGCGGTGCCGGGGAGAAGGGTCGGCACGGCTGGGCCATGGCCAAGGACCCGCACCCTGGCAGGGGCCAACAGCCGAGGCCCCGGCCTTCTCCCCACGGCAGTGAGCCCCTTCCCCTGCCTCTCATTCTGGCCCAGGCTGCCCCGGCGGGGAGGCGGCAAGGCAGAGAGCGCCCCCGCCTGCTGGCTCCCTGGCTTGCCCCGCCAGTCGAGAAAGCTAGCGGCAGCGATCCAGGGCGGCATCGAGCCTGGCAGGACGAGGCAGCCGCCAAGCGCCCGCCCTGGCCGCCGCCTCCTCCTCACCGCTGGAGCCGGCTTCTCCGCGGCCCACACGACGGGGGCGGGGGGCCGGAGGAGGAGGAGGAAGGCTGAGCGGCTTCCCCAAGGACCCTCCAAGACCTGCACCTGACCGCCCACCAGCAAACGCGCAGCAACAGAAGCAGCCGCGTACGAGGCAAAATCCCTCCCCGAAGTCGCGGGGGCAGCCTACCCTACAGGACGGCCCCAGCCCCGCGGTGGCTCCTCCGGCTTCCAAGGACCCTCCCAGCCTTGAATGCTATACCTCGGCCCCTTCCCTGCACTGCTGCAGCACGACGCTCTCTCGCTCGCTCTCTCGCTCGCTCGCCAGCGTTGTGCTGATGGTGCAGAGAGATGCCAACGCTCGAAAGCGATCGATGTTCCTCCCCGCCCGCCGACTGCCTTTCCTGCCCCTGCGTCCTCGCCCTGGCCTCCCTCCCTCGATGGCTTGCTCTTGCAGGGGGCTGATTCAAAGGGGGTGGGGAGAAGCCCCTCGCATTGGAAGAGGGAAAGAATTAAAAGGAACGCGAGGCGAGAGGTCAGTGCATTAAGGCAGCCCTCCCGCCCGGCTGGTGGCTGATGGCCAGGGAGGCGCAGCCGGCAGCCCCTCCCCAGGAACAATGAAATCACCCTTGTGAAAATAGCGTCGATGCTGAGCTCGCGGGGTGCGCTGCCGCAGGCTGCCACTCGGGGGCAACATTGCGCTTCCAGCATCGCCACCCCTGGACTCGAGCGCCACAAACCGGGCATCTTCCTGTAACTCTTGGGCCGGGCGGGCAATTTCTTCCTCAAGCCCCCCCGCGGCCTTTACCTCCCAACTAAAATTTGCTCTCTCCATTCCCCTCTTTATTTTCTCCTGAATTTATTTCGTGCCCCGCTTTTCCACCAGGAAAGAGCACACGGTGCCCAAGAACAAAAAGCCACTCATAAAGCTGCTCATAAAGCGAGTACTTCAAAAACTATTAAAAATCCACAGTGATCAAAGAATAAAAACAAGCAAGTTACCATAATATCTTATCAAATGATAATACAAAATAAGCCAGTCCGAAGACACGAAAGGCACACAGGTGCCGGGGGCTCAAAGGGTTAATGCTGCCTGGTCCTCACCAGGATCCGGGTTCCAGTCCCCAGCTGGTCTTGAAGCTCAGTGAGGACTTCGGCCCAGTCATGGCTCTCAGTCTGACCTACCTCACAAGGCTGTTGGTTGGAGGATCAAACGGACAGGAGGAACACGGGAACAGCTTTGGGTTAGTGGGTGGGAAGGAGAGTTTCCATCAGAAAAATCTCAGCAGAAGAGTTAGCTCAGCTTTCCATAACCAGATACTGCCTGGATGTTGAGAACTTAATTTCTCATCAGCCAACTTGGCCCACGGTCAGGAAAGCTGGGAGGCATAGTCTGAAACATCCCCGGAGCATTGAGTTGGGGAAGACTGAGTTAAATAATAGCCATATAACCTCTGCATTCTGTGAATATTTAAGCTGAAACCCAACCCAAACCCAAATGCCAAAAGCTGCGAGAGGAGCAGAAGGAAAACACCAATTAGACAGCAATAAACTGAGTCAACATGGAAATTTCTAAATTAAACATCCGGGCTGCTTTTATTCTTTCCCCAGAACCTGCCCCGGTCCTCAGAATTTGGCAAGTTCTCTACCAAGGACAGAGGACGGTTCAGCTCTGCTTGGTTCTTCGTAAGAACCTGAACGTCAAAGGGGCTGTAACCACCTTGAGAGGAAAATTCATAGCGCAGTGGAAAGGTTTCACTGCCGTTGGTGCCATCCCAATGTTTGCAATCCAAACACAGCAGCTTGTTGCTAAACTTGCACAGCCCTCGAGGCAGCTTAGTAAAGCAAGCCAAGAGTCCAGGCGTGGCAAAGAGGAGGGGGGCATTAGCCCAAGGAATGACGGGGAGGGGGCATTCAGATTCCAGGTCTCCCCTCTGGTCTCCTTGGTTAAGGCAGAACTGGGCTGGGATGCCCCAGATGGCACCCGGAGCCCCCGAAGTAACCCCGGATAATCATTCCACGGGAAGGCCCAGCGTTCCCCCAGCTGGGACCCTCGGGGAGTGGGAGCAGAGGTTGGGCTACAGCTCTCATCGTCCCCAGCCACAGCGGAGGACAATGGGATCTGCATTCCAGCCCATCCACCAGGTACCAGCTTGGGCAGGGCTGCTTGAGCCTCCATCAAGAAATCCCTGGAAGCGAAGAATTCTGTGCCTGTGAAACGAGCCTGCTTTTTAAAAGAGCGGAGGAACAGGGAAGCGATGGGTTCCTCTTCGGTTAGCAAGGCAAGAACTGAGGGCTGGACATTGCTGGCCTTCCTGGACGAAGGGAGGGGTGAGCCCAGCAGGAAGCCGGTCCCTCGCTCACCTAGAGAGGCAAATCTCGCTGGCGTGTGCAAATGACCAGCCCGTGCGAACCGAAGTGTTGTGCTAGCCAGCTGTTCTCTTGGCCGCCTCCCAGGTGCTCTCCGAGGCATCACCTGGGGAGGGGGAGGGCTACACCCAGCAGAAGAAAGCAGGAAGAATCTGCAGCTGCTGGCCCGTTCCGTGAAATAACCTCTAACTGCTGAAAACACGTTGCGTTGTGGCTCCCGAAGAAGGGGGGCGTTTATCCGAGGGAATTTTGTTCTAAAGACGACGAAATCTCTTCTCCGGCCTCTGTCTTGCAGTGTTGCAGCAAAAGCCAGCAAGGCAGGGGCCGGAGCGAAAGCTGCCGGATTCCTGCCATCCAGCGGTGCCAAGAGATGAGCTGAAAATGCAAAGCTGCACAAACGCGGAGAATTTATTTCCTAAAATAATCTAAGTTGGGAAATGGGGCTCCTCCTACAGTTCAAACCTGCCAGAGGTGCAGAAGCACGGCATGGGGGCAGCAGAAACGGGGTCCTTCGGAGCTGATTTAACAGGCACGGACATCTGCAAGCTCTCTATAAGACCATGAAGGGTGCGGCCTTTTGCAGGTGGGGGCCTGCTGGGAATTGCAGTCTTTTTCAGTTTAAACGTCCATGTCTCAAACGGAGCACGTAAAGCTACATCACAGCTTCCCTGCAGCCTCCACCTCCCACCCTGCAATGTTCGTGCTTTCAATTATGTTTTTAATATATCTGTTTTTTATCGCTATGCTTTCTGTTTTTTATCGCTATGTTTTCATGTCATTTTTCTTTTGGATTTTGTTTTCTTTGGACGGGTGGGAGGGAGATAAAACCAATCAAAGAAATCAACCATGTTGAAGCCCTAAAATTAGCAAAACCAGCGCTCAAGAGGCAAGAACACCCCCTGAGCCATGGAGCAGATCTTAGGTTGTCAGGGGAGGGAAGGAAGGAGGGAGGGAGGGAAGGAGGGAGGGGCAAAGAAGCAGGCAAAGAGGCACCCGAGGGAGGGAAGCACGGTGTAGTGGTGAGATTCTGAGGGCTCAGGATCCACTCCCCACTCAGCCGTGAAGCACACCAGGTGGCTTTGGGCCAGTTGCCCTTGGCCACCTCACCGGCTTGTGCGAGAGATGAAAAGGGGAGGGGGGGATGGCAAGAATCGCCTTGCGTCCCTGACGGGCTGCCAAGAGACGAGGCAACAGCAGCCGCCACCAGCAACGCTTCTGGTTCCCAGGCCTGCGATGCAGAAGGGGCAGGGCAGGGCAACGGCGGAAGGAGAGACCCCATCCCCTCGTCCTGCAAGCGGGTCAACGCAACGCACCAAGCGCCCCCCTGAAGCCACTTACTCTGACGGGGTCTGCAGGTCAAGGTGATCTGCTGGAAAGGAAAAGACAAGCCGGTCAGCGGGGCACCGGCAACGCCGTGCATGCTAGGCGGGGAGTCCGTGGGGGCGCCCGCAGGCCTGCCCCACAGGTGTCGGAGGGGTTTGACGCTCTGCACGCGGGCCAGAGGGCCCTGCCAGTGCCCCACGGCAATGCCGCGAGTGAGGTAAGCACAGAAGTCAGATTCTGTCTGTTCGCCGCAGCTGGGGAAGAACATTCTCGAGAAAGGAGCGTGTGCCATTCCGGCCGTGCGGATGCGCTGAGGGGCGGCCGGGAGAAGAGCCGCGAACCCAGCAGGAGCAGCTCGCGCCAGCGGCCAGGCTTACCGAGGTTCGTGCCGGAGTCTGAGGGGGTCAGGGGGACCCGGCCCTCGAGCAGCGCCTCCTCGGCCTCCCAGTCCTCCGAGGGCTCCAGGTCCTCGCTGACGCTGGACCTCCGCCTCGGGGGCGGGTCTTGCAGGGCGCCCCTCGTGCCCAGCTCCATCCGGGCATGGCTCACCACCAGTCCACCACTGTCCTCCTCCTCCTCCTCCTCACTGTCCTCGAAGTCAAAGTCCTCCCCCACATCCTCCTCCGGGTCCGCCGAGGTCTCCAGAGCAGCCGGCACGGCTCCGTCTCCTGCACAGAGGGCAGACGACGCGGGTCAGGGCAGCCGAGAGGGGCCCAAGCGGCCACGGCCCTGCCCGGCCAGTCGCGTGGGGCTTCTGTCCCCGGCAGCCCCGGCCCGCAGGGCCTACGCGGGGGAAGGCTGGGAACTGTCCGACACACCGGCAGGCCGGGCTGCGGAACACAACCCGGGCCTGAGCAGCTGGCGGGGCCTTGCAGGGACCGGCTGCCAAGGGGCTGGCGAGTGACGCCGCGACGGAAGCACCGGAGCTGCCCACGGGCCTTGGAAAGCCAGGCCTGCGACTCTCCCAGGAGAGCTTCCGGGTCAGTTGCACGGCTGGAACGACGGGGCGGAGGGAAAAGCTTGGGGAGTCAACCTTAGCCCAAACAAAGATTTCCCGTTCCTCGCAGCAGCTACTCCTGGTCTGGATCAGGAGCAGAGACCCTCCAGCCTGGGGGTCAACCCCGCCTGGCCACACCCCCTTCCTGTGGCCCCACACTCCTCCCCAACCATGGATCGCTCAGTGGTCTCCCGGCTTTTCCACTGGTATTCCCCCTTCCCAAAAGGCTGCAGTTCCTCTTCTAAAGCAGAGCATCTGGCGATGGTAATTCTTACGCCGCATTGGCATCCCACCTTCCTTCCTCTTGTAAGGAACCCAGCGCAGCTTGCAAGTTCTTCCTCCTCTCCCTTTTATCCTCACAACAAGAACCCCGAGAGCTAGAAAGTTGCTCTGTTTTATACGAGAGCTGATCTTTCTCAGAATCCTATGAAAACGACCCACGTGTTCACAAGGCAGGTTTGCCGCTGTGCGGTAACTCTTGGAAACCACACCCAGGCTCCTTCCAGATTCAGATCCTTCTTGACAGTAACAGTGAGGTCTAGAAACTTGCTCTATGTTCATCTGAAAAGTTTTTCAGACTCTTGCAGAAACAGCCAGGTATATTTGGCATCAACATTTGTCTGGGGTGATCACAAGGTCCTGAACATTCCAGGATCTTGTGATGACTGCGAAGCAACTTCTGCAGCCCTGATTTAAAAAGAAAAAGAAAGAAAGAAAGAGCGAACAAACGAAAGCCAGCCAGCCAGCCTCTTATTAGGCAGGTTGATGATACCTAGTGGAGAGCTCGGGGGAGGCTGGGAGGTGGCCATCGCGCACTGCCTCTCACTGTTTTGCTGCTTCTCTCCTGGCTCCGCAGCTGCTTCCTAAAGAGAAAGGGAGACGAGAGACATTCAGGAGAGACGCGGTTCTTCCAGGAACCAATCCTGGGATCCTCCCCCTAACGCTCCCCCGGCTGAGGTCCCTCCTCGGTGCCCACATCCCATAATGCCAGGCCCCAGCTTTGCACTGCAGCTCCAGGATTTAGGCCAAGGGCGAAGCTGCACTGGCTGATGGGGGGCAAAGCCCAAGGGGCAGAAAGCATGGGGGCAGAGGGTGCCTCTGTGCCCCCCCCAAATCCGCTGGCCAGCCAAGGTCAGCCCTCCAACCGAGGCTCTTCAGACAAGGAGGGAAGCGAGATGCAGACGGGTGAGGATTCACCATCCTCCGGCAGACCCCGTCTCGCCTCCCCCACGCTGCCTCCCAAAACTCCCCCTTCAGCGCTTCCTCAAGGTCCCTGCAACGACCTTGGAGACACCGCTGAGCTGGCGCTTCCCATCCGGCTCCGGGGACTGCAGGACAGCCCTCCCTGGCTGCAGGAATGCCTGCCTGATCCCAAGGAAAGCTGCAGAGCATGGCCAGAGGAGTAGTCTTCCGAAAGACCTCCTGGGTCTTTTCCACTTCAGTCTCTGATCATGAGGGCTAGAAACTTAGCTCATCTTTGGCTCAAAAGCTGGGAAATGGAGAAACACCAACACATCCTGCCTTCCTCCAGCAATGGCTGGACATGTCATGGAACAATCGTTCGCAGCCCTTCGTATCCTTTGGGCCTCCACACAGGGCTTTCTTGAGAAGGGAATTTCCATGTTCGCTGATATTCTCTTATTATATTTATGGTCAGTTGAAAGGACATGGACACTGTGGTAGTACTATTGGGAGTAAAAATTATTGCTCTGGCTTTCAAACACAAAATAAGATAATTGCATTAGGGTGGTTGTTTTTAAAGTTGCTAGTAATAAAGTGGAAAATCCGAGGATTGGCAGGAGAAGGAAGACCACCCTCACAGGAAGGGGTTGAGAGAGAGAATTAAGAATTAAGAGAGTGAATTAAGAATTCACTCTGTTCCGAAAACCCCACGTTCTGCCTGTGCTACTTCTGGTGTTTGCAGGCCACAGCGGAGGGCGCCTGTGATAGAAAGCTGGTCACTCGCTCTTCGACGGGTTTCTGTGAAATTGCCAGAACCTAAAAATAAAAAACGTAGGCTGCTGTCCACAGCACCAACCAGTTCCACCTCTAAGCGCAACTCACCCAGCAAACAGGATCAAGGGAAACAGGTCCCGGCCCCCATCCCGTCCCTCCCTGAGCCAGTCCCAGACGGTCCCGGAGAAACAAGCAGGCGACCCCAGAATGGCTCTGATGAGCCACGGATGGGAAGCAAGGCATGTACCGAAGAAGCTGCGAGCCACAAAGCCCCTAATTCAGCCACCTGGCCCATGGCAAGCTGACGCTATTTCCCGATCCTGATCCACCGTTCCTGGTGCCACATAGAGGGAAAAGGAGGTTCCCAAATAAATCTGAGAAGCTGTACGACATGGAGAAGAACGCAGACAGTGTGCAGAATTCTGTGCCCTCCTGAATTCTGTGCCCGCCGAGCAGAGCTGTTAGCCCCGTCGCACAGGCGCTTGGGGGACGACGTGGAAGCCTCTTCCTCCACGCTCCCGGGGCCGGCATATGGCGCAGCGCATCCCGCCCCTAGAGCGGTGCTCCGACTCGTAACTACATTAACTCGTTCGCCCGAAGCGGCGGCAGAGCCTTCTCCCTCCCTCCCTCCCTCCCTCCATCTTAGGAAAAAGAGCAATTAGTAATTTCCACCACTTATTTCCAAAAGGGGAAATTTAGTTTACTAACGTTCTTCCGTCATTTTCAGGGGCCAGATGGTGGTTCAAGTGGGGGGGACCCCATAAGTAGCTCCAGAGAAAATCGGTCAGGTGGCGACCATATGGCGGCTGCCGAGGACTAAGCGGGCTTGCGAAGTTTGTGCAGCACAAAGTGGTGTCGACAGCTGCTTCCAGTGTCTGTGATGTCTCCGTTTATGACAGGCATCGCACCGCTCACCCTGGAAGCTCGAGGCCCGTGCGGGACGTTTCCCCCAGTGCAACAGCCAAGCCGCGGTCCAGGCGGAGTCGTGACGGCCCCCCTGCGGCCGCTGGCCGTTCCTCCCCACAAGGCAGCCCCTGTGCCATGGGGTGGCATCACAGCCACCGGGAGGAGGCGGCTGGTTGCAGGATCTGGCCCAAATAACAGCCCCTGCAGCGAGAGCAGATTCAGGTGGAGGGACCTGCCGGGGGTGCACGGGGGTGGCTAGAGTTCCGCACTTGAAAAAGCTCGGATCCTGCCACAGTCGCGGACTGTGAAGGAAGAGGCAGCCTGCGACAGACTGTTTCATGTCCGCTCACCTCCCTTGTGCATCACATACACAAAATGTGTCGGGGGAGTCACCCTCTTTCTTCGAGACCCCCGTTCTCCATGCCAGCAGGGGAGCCTTCCTCCAGGGATCTGGGCCCCACTGCTGAGGGGCACCGGTAAGGACTCAAAAGATCGGGGGCTCGGGACAAATAGAGCAGCACAGACTGACATACGCTTTAAGCCCCGCGCCCCGGTCGATCTGCCTGCCGGCCTCCTGAGGGAACCCCGATCTGTAAGGACAGGGGGAAGAAGGCGCTTGAATTCAGACGAAAAGCTCAGGTTGCAAGCTTCAGAGGGGAGCAGAAGTGTTTGTGAGCAAGAAGCTGGGCAGATGAGATGCCACGAAGAGGATCAGAGCCCGTGCCTTTACTTCCGCACGCTTGCTGGGCCAGCAGGGGGAGTCAGGGCTCCAGCGCTCACGATTCGCCCCGCAATCGCAGGTGTCCTCCGCCACCTGTCCACCCCCTTCGCTGCTCCAAGTAAGCAACCGTGGCTTCAAGGGGATGACGTGCCCCCGAGAGCTGGGCATTCACCGCACACCACACACACCACTTCTGTGCAAGTAGCAGAAAGTCACGGGGATGGTGCCTCGTGCAGAATGGGGGAGATCCCCCCACCCAGCAGGGTCTCGTCTCACGGCCGTAGTGCCTGGCTTACATTATGGCGAAGTATGTCGCTATGGCCCTTTTCCAAATGGGGACTCGGTTTAAAAAGACCCACTCAGGGGTCTGCAGGCTCTTGCTGGCGCCCCCCACCCGTGCACTGGCAAAGAGCTCCCTTCCTTTCGCTCCTGTTTTGGCTTCCAGTGATTTCCATTCATGATTTCAAGCTGATTATTTTTGAGTCTCAATGACTCTTCAATGATCGCCTGAGATTGCATAATAGATGTTTTCAAAATCGTTATACCAGGACTTGGACTGGCAGCCTCTCAACTAGAGGACTGCCGACGCTTCAGAGGAGTGTCCTTTGTACAGCAGGAGACAGGGCCACCCTAAGCTGGTGCAGGCCGGCCTCTTCTGTTCCAGTTTCAATCAGCCCTTTATTCAGAACCATGAGGACTGGGATCTTATTTCAGTTTTTAAGCAAAGACATAGCTCACTGCCAAAGCACCTGCTGTGTACACAGGAGGTCTCGGTTTCAGTCCCTGGCAGCATCTCCAGGGAGGGCCGAGAGTGACCCCGGCTGAAATGCTGGAGAGCTGCGGCTGCCAGTCCGTGCCAACGAACCCACATTCTGACTCAGGAGAACTCAGCTTCTCGTGCCCCCAACTGACCTCTCCAGTGCTTCAAGATTTTGAGGCTGCTGTTCTGCTTAATTTTCTGCTTAATTCCCAGCATCTCCAGCAAGGGCTGAAGCTCTGCAGAACCATGACTTCCCGTCAGCGATACTGGGGAAAATGGCCCAAGCAGGGCCTGACTCCGTGGAAGCCAGCGCCTGTTTAAAATAACCCATTAGCCGAAGCCATGAGGACCAGGATCCTTATTTTTTGGAGAACTTCACAATTTGAGAGGGGTGAGAGCACGTGCTTTCCATGCAGAAGGCCCCGGCCGCATCTCTGGGTCGGGCTAGGAAGAAAAGACTCCTGCCTGAAACACAGTGGCAACGAGCCGGGGCTCCGTAGGCCCGGAAAAAGCAAGGCTACCGACATTCCTGCACCAAACATTCCTGCACGCGGTGGGCATGTCGTGAGCGGAGTCGGCTGGAGCCGGGGGTCAGACTAGATGGCCCGGGAGACCCCTTCTGCCTCGCTCTGTTTCTGTGTTTCTATTTGCACACTTCATGCAGAAGTCTGGAATCATTCGACAAAGGAAACTGCGCCTCGTCAGCTAATATGAAACCAGGTCAATAGGGGAGCAGCTATCTAAGAGAGACTGTATGGCCCTTCCTGTCGACCTCCTGTAATACTTTCAGTGACTGGGGCTCGACACCCTCCGTAAGACTTCCGCTGCCCTTCAGAGCGGAGGGAGGGAATAGGGAGTATGTGGAAACACGGCTGCTTCCAAACACAAGACCTTTGTACGTTTTTTGTTGAATATGTCCGGTAGCAGCCAGCAAAGCGCAAGGATCAGTGTGGATGCCCCCTTCCCTCCAGTTAACCCCCCATTAGAAATAGTCCAGCCGAGAGACAGGGCTGGAGGAGGAGCTGGCTTGGTCTGCATGTTGATGCGAGCTTAGCTAGGGTTGCTCTTTGAGCCACCATTTCCCTAAACAATCTGCCCCTTGCCAAACTTCGGGATGGAATTCTCCAGGCAAAAAATGCAAATAAAAATCAGTAAATCAGCAGAGGAGCAAGAATGAGAGAATGTTCAAACATTTGAGGGGTTTGCTTGCAAAAAGTTGAATTTCAGAGTTCTGATAGGGTTGCTTCCCCAAAGCCATCACTATTTTCATACATGAGCCCACTCTACATATCAATTTATATTGTTCTTACTTTAATTGGACATCACTTTGGTATTACCTTCCAGAAAGTAGAATAGACACTTCACAGGTACTTCAGTAAGGAGGCAGATTAAAAGAGGAGGAGGAGGAAGATACATTGTGGAAGGCAGGCAAATATATCAGGAAAGAAAAGGAAATATAATGGAGAGGAAAGGAAGGAGGGTGGGTAGGTGGGCTGAGGAAAATTGAATGGAAACATCTA